CAAACGGGACAGGGCATCCGGCTTGGCGTTCTGGGACCCCGGCCTGTAAGACAGAGTGAAGTTAAAATGGTTAAAAAACAGAGACCATCTTGATTGGCGAGAATTTAGTCTTTTAGCCTTCCTAATGTACTCAAGATTCTTGTGGTCGGTCCATACTATAAAAGGAAGCTGAGCCCCCTCCAACCAATGTCTCCATTCCTCCAGAGCAATCTTTACCGCCAACAACTCACGGTTCCCCACGTCGTAGTTCCGCTCTGCAGAGGAGAGTTTCTTGGAGAGAAAGGCGCAGGGATGAAGTTTGTTGTCTTCCTTGGACTGCTGTGACAGGACAGCCCCCACCCCTTCATTTGAGGCATCAACCTCTACCACGAACTGACGAGTTGGGTCGGGGACGATGAGGATGGGGGCTGAGGTGAACCTCTCCTTGAGACGGCGGAAAGCCTCCTCGGCCTGAGGAGACCACACAAAAGGCACCTGAGGGGACGTGAGAACATGAAGGGGAGAAGCAATGGCACTGAAACTTCTGATGAAGCGCCTGTAAAAGTTCGCAAAGCACAGAAAACGTTGCACCCCCTTGCGGTTGTCTGGCGTAGGCCACTTAGCCACCGCACTGAGTTTGGCCGGGTCCATCTGGATCAGACCAGGAGCTATGATAAACCCTAGGAAGGATACAGTCTTAGCATGAAACTCACATTTCTCTGCCTTCACATACAGTTTGTTCTCCAGGAGTTTTTGGAGGACCTGACGTACATGGTGAACATGAGAGTCTTTGTCAGGTGAGTATATTAAAATATCGTCAAGATATACAAACACAAAACGGTTTAAAAACTCCCTTAAAACATCGTTGATGAGAGCTTGAAAAACTCCTGGAGCATTGGTGAGACAAAATGGCATGACGAGATACTCATAGTGCCCTGTGGGTGTGTTAAAACCGGTCTTCCACTCATCCCCCTCACGAATTCTCACCAGATGGTAGGCATTACGCAAGTCTAACTTGGTAAAAATGTTAGAGTCTTGAAGTTGTTCAAAAGCAGTAGCCATGAGGGGGAGCGGATACCTGTTCTTAACCGTAATGTCATTTAAAGGAGAATAATCAATGCATGGCCTAAGGGATCCGTCCTTTTTTCCCCACAAACAAAAAACCCGCCCCAGCCGGGGAGGAAGACGGGCGGATCAGACCTGCACGAATAGAGGTGTCAATGTACTCCTTCATAGCCTCCTTCTCAGGACCCGAGATGGAGTATAACCTACCCTTCGGAATTGGAGCCCCAGGTAACAGATTGATGGCACAATCATACGGCCTATGAGGAGGAAGGGAGGTGGCGCGCACTTTACAAAATACCTTGGCCAGGTCATCGTAACAGGGAGGAACAGAAGTTAAATCTGGGGTTTGAGTATTAGTAACCTGATCGGTACTACGTTCCCCAGAAACCCCTCCTACTGCCATGTTTCCCACACACTTAAAACAATCCTGTGAACACTCCTGCCCCCACCCCTTAATTTTACCTGACCACCAATCAACATAGGGGTTATGCTTGGTTAGCCAGGGAAAACCTAGGATGAGAGGATGTTGAGCAGAATTAAACAGGTGAAACGACATGAGTTCACAATGATCATCAATCATGATAGTGACGGGTTCGGTCTTGTGTGTGACATGAAATAGAAGTTTGCCATCCAGAGCACTGGCTTTCAAAGGGGATGACAAAAGTTCAGTTTTAAGTCTCAGTTCATGTGCTAATCCCCAATCCATCAGGCTTTCGTCAGCCCCAGAGTCAATTAACACTTTTTGAGAGTTACTTCTTTCATGGCAGATTACCTTTATGTTGGTCAACTTGCGGGAAGGAGAGTCTGCCGTAGAAAGACGGCTCACCAGTGCCCTCCCTTTCACTGGTGAGCCCCGTCTTTTACCGGGCATCCAGAGAGAAGATGACCTTGTTGGCCGCAGTAAAAACATCTTCCCTCCAGCAGGCGGCGGCGGCGCTCCTCCGTAGACAGCTTGGCACGTCCCAGCTGCATTGGCTCCTCGGCCTTGTTGGGAGACGCTGATCTCTGGGATGGAAGGAAAGAGGAATGTGGCATGGCAGTCTCCTGAGAGTGAGAAGAGTAGGGGTGCCCTCTAGGGTGGAAATAGGGTAGTGCAGCCCTGTCCTTCTCCCGTTTCCTCTCAGCAAGTCTGTTATCAATCCTAATGGACATGGCAATGACCGAGTCTAGTTCCACAGGCAGCTCCAAGGGCGCCAGCTGATCCTTAATAGGGTCAGAAAGTCCATTAATGAAGGCATCGAACAAAGCAGAAGAATTCCAGCCACTATCGGCCGCAATGGTGCGAAATTCCACTGCGTAGTCTGACACACTGCGTCTTCCTTGACTTAACTTGTAAAGGACCCGAGCTGCTTCTCTGCCTGGGGATGTGTGGTCAAAAATGTTCGTCAGGGAGTCCGTAAACTGTCCCAAAGACTCGCATATCGGCGAGTCACGTGACCATTCAGCCGTAGCCCACGCCGCCGCTCGTCCGGTGAGATGGGAAATCATAAAAGCCACCTTGGATCTCTCTGTGGGAAAGGCTGTCGGAAGTTGACTAACGTAGGCTGCAATTCACCAGAAAGGGACGGCAGACATGGGATTCCCCGGAAAACTTCTCAGGCGGAGCCAGACGGATTGACACGGTGTGGGAAGCGGGCGCCGGGTCCGCATTCGCTTCGGGTCCGGCCGGAGGTGGGGGTGAGGGCTCAGCCTTGAGGTGAGTGAGCAGGTGGTGAACCTGCCCCGCCAGGTGGTTAATCTGGTTTGTTACAGATGACTCAAACTCCCTCTGGCTGTCTGTGACGTGCGATATTCCCTGCTGGATGGCCGTTAAATGATCCTCCTGTTGAGCGAGGCGGCCTGCCTGAGAGCGAAGCGCTGTTTTCAGCTGTTCAGAGTCGGCTGAGTTCCTGTTTTGGCCAGTTCGTACTGTTACGACTGAATAAACGGGTTTGAACTCAAATGCACGACTCACACAGGTTTTAACAAAAAAGGTTTATTCAAACCAAAGCTCTACTACAGAGGTCAAAAACGAAATAACTCTTAACGAGGAAAAACAGTTTCAAAACAAAGTCACTCTTAATGAGGAAAACACTAACAAAACAAAATCACTTCGATGAGGAAAAAAACACTAGGAGCATGGATAACTAAATACTCAGATAAGACGTGGCTCAAAGCTCTGCTTGGGATTATTCCTGGCATGATACACTGGTAGTAATACCCCTTTCACACCAACGGTGTTTCAGGGCCGGTTCGGTGCTGGTGCTTGAAAAGCACCGGGTTTTCCTGTTCACACCGCAGCGGAGCAGCGTCATAGCTCCGGAATCCGGTTCGTTTCGAGCACCAAAAAGTTGTCCGTCTAGAAGCAAGAACCGCATACGTCACGCTTACGTCGGAGGGGGGCGAGATTAACCTGAGCTAACACTTAAGGCGAGTACGGCAAATAAAAGTTGTAACAAGCAGTAGTGCTGAGCAAAGTGACTAGAACGCAACCACACACTTGTTAAAAAAAACACACTTTATAAAGTCAGGCAACACTAACCAGGCTTCGTGTGATTCTGTTTATTTGTACCTTACTTTGACCATCCGTTCGCTGTTATTGATCATTGTGGAGAGCAGGCAGACGTTTGTTATTATAGCAGCTATCGGATGGAATCAATACATGGGCTGCACAGGTTGTCATGTCCGACTATCACAAGTAGAATCATAATGAAAAATACGTCGGTAAAAAGTGCCTGTAGAAAACTGCTTAGCAAGTAGTCAGTTTAGCTTCGGTTGCTATGCTAACATCACCCATGTTATACCAGAGAAACTTTCATAACAGCGTTGTGATGCCAAACAGCGTCAATTCAGACTGACACCAAACAGCGTCAATTCAGACTGACACACATTCACTTAAGGGGAACTGGGGATATGTATCAGCTGCTTGTGTGACAGTCAGACAGTGAATACTTTAGAGCCGTGTGAGCTAACCCGGAGCTAACGGGAGAATACACTCCCGTTGAAGAGCAGCCGGCCAGCACTGCAGCGGTCGGTAAATGCCGCTGAAACACATTAATAAACAATGAACCACGGCACTCTGGAGAAAAGTATAAGGTTGGAGAAGTCGTTATTTAATTTAATCTGGCTTCGTATGATTAAAAGCAACGCAGTCCCCGGCCCGTTGTTGTTGTGAAGTGAGCTCCGGCGTTGGGGAGAAACTCAGCGACGTAAACGGTGACGTCATGACGCAGCAGCGGCAGCACCAGTCGGGCTCTGAGCGGTGTGAAAAGAGCCGGCGCTAAACCGAAGAACCGGTTCTGAACCAGAAAAGCTCTAGCACGGAGCTTGAACCGGAGTTGCGTTGGTGTGAAAGGGGCATTAGTCACAGGAAACGAAACGAACTGGCACAGGACAAAGGGAGACGAGGACAATAAATACACCAGGTAATGGGGAACAGGTGGAAACAATCAGGGGCGGGGTCGACAATCACAGGTGTGGGAGACACACAAGGAAGGGAGGTCAGAGTATCTGAAACGAGAGGGAAGGTTACTATTAAAAAATAAAGGTGAACATCACTAGACAAAGACAAAAACACTAAACTAAACTAACATAATTTGCGAGAGATGACAGATCTGAGCACTTTGTCCACCTCTGAACAAGCATCACACATGATATTGAGACTGCACTGTCATACCTTATTGTTTGTGTCACTTGGGGTCTTAGCAGTCCTTGCATCAGCCCAGTGCCTCAGTACAGTACATGTTTGTCAAAAGAAAGTCACATTCCTCAGCTTCAGTGGGACTGCTTCACAAGTCCTGACGGCCCCTGTGGTTCCTGCATACCCATTAGTGCACGGACTGTTACAGCTGACTGCAGGAGGAGGTTTCAGCAGCTCTTACACAGAAACAAGTGCCGATGCAAGATCATTGCAGAGTAGTAGTTATTCATTTGAAATCAAGATGTTCAGAGGCTTTTTGGGGGGCTTTTTTTATGTAATGCTGGCAGGCCTCCTGCTGTGCTCGGCCACAGGCCTGCTGATGGTGGATCAGCGCAGAGATGCAGAGGAAGACCAGGAGCGCAACAAAGCCATCTTAGAAATGCTACACATTAATAAAGTGTCTGCGAGCCATCAGGCCAAGCCACATCCTTACATGAGGGAGATATATCAGCGTTTGGACTCACTGGAGGTTCAAGACTTTGCGAGTTCAGATGGAACGCTGGTGCAGAGTTTTCGGAGTGTTGTTGGTAAGGATTCAAAATTAATTATCCTCTTGTTTTAAATATTTTAACCTTTTAAGCGTGCGTGCGTGCGTGCGTGCGTGCGTGCGTGTGTGCGTGTGTGTGTGTGTCTTTGCGTTTGTTTCCCGGGGAAAACACTCACGAGAAACACCGGCTGTTGTTATGCCTGCTGTGACGTTAAGTTACTCCGTTCTCCGCTTGTAATTATGCCGTTACAAGCTTCATAGTTGTATTTATCATCTGAATTTGCCGAAACAAGTTTAATATTCTGAAAGCCAAGACTTTGTTTATTTGAAATCAGATGAAAACAAACTGTCACACGCAGGGCCGTATCCACCATTGAGGTCACCGAGGTCCGGACCTCGGTAATAATTTCCGAGCTGTGTATATAACAAAACGTGTGAAATAACTGCACTAAACGGGGTTCTTTGTAGTACTTCCATTTACTGCCGATGGGGGCGCTGCATAACTACGTAGCCTCGATTAAAGCAAACAGAAGAAGACGACATATATCAACAAACCACTGCAGCCCGGGGCCGTTCTCATTTCATCAAATCCCCCTCCTCGACTCCTATCCTCGAGACTTAGTCCCGCCCCCACAGGAGATGCGAGCGGAGGAGCCGAGGAGTCGAGGAGTCGAGGAGGGGGATTTGATGAAATGAGAAGGCCCCCGGACTTGTATCGGAGCAGCGGAGGAGTGATGAGGTATCTAGAGATCTGAGTCCAGTGGGCTGCTTGTGTTCCTGTTCATCATATGACCAGCATATGAATGTGAACGCTCTACGTTAGTCAGTGGACGTCCGACAACATGCACACTAACTTATATTGCAGCTACAGGCTATACTTTGGTTTAAATTACGTGAATAAACTAACTAGAGAGCTAAAGTTAATTACATTCATCCAATGTCAGAAGGATTACCTTTTAATACACGTTGTAATGCTTTTCTTTCATTTCAATTTGAGTAAAACATTGAAGATATAACATTGTATTGTTTTCTTTTTACACGGACTCAGATATAATGAAAAGACTACTTCAGTCGAAGCTCAGCTTTGGTAAGGAAGAGACAGGACAGGCAGAGAGAAAGAGAGAGAGAGAGTGATGGAAGTCAGGGAGGAACTGCAGGTACAGTCACACAAAAGAATGTAGGCTTAATAACCCCATCTATCCATCTATCTATCTATCTATCTATCTATCTATCTATCTATCTATCTATCTATCTATCTATCTATCTATCTATCTGTCTGTCTGTCTGTCCGTCCGTCCGTCCATCTATCTATCTATCTGTCTGTCTGTCCGTCCGTCCGTCCGTCCGTCCGTCCGTCTGTCTGTCTGTCTGTCTGTCTGTCTGTCTGTCTGTCTGTCTGTCTGTCTGTCTACCCACCCACCCACCCACCCATCCATCCATCCATCCATCTATCTATCTATCTATCTATCTATCTATCTATCTATCTATCTATCTATCTATCTATCTATCTATCTATCTATCTATCTATCTATCTATCTATCTATCTATCCGTCTATCTATCCATCTATCTATCTATCTATCTATCTATCTATCTATCTATCTATCTATCTATCTATCTATCTATCTATCTATCTATCTATCTATCTATCTATCTATCTATCTATCTATCTATCCATCTATCTATCTATCTATCTATCTGTCTATCTATCCGTCTATCTGTCTGTCTGTCTGTCTGTCTGTCTATCTATCTATCTATCTATCTGTCTATCTATCCATCTATCTATCTATCTATCTATCTATCTATCTATCTATCTATCTATCTATCTATCTATCTATCTATCTATCTATCTATCTATCTATCTGTCTATCTGTCTGTCTGTCTGTCTGTCTGTCTGTCTGTCTGTCTGTCTGTCTGTCTGTCTGTCTGTCCATCCATCCATCTATCTATCTATCTATCTCTTTATCTATCTCTCTATCCATCTATCTATCCATCTATCTATCTATCTATCTATCTATAACAATAGTCTTCATTTACACTATAGACAATAGGCATACTTTTAAAACAGCATACATCTATTGCAGTTATGATGTCATAATAACATACAATTGTATAAAACACAATTTGCTTACATCTTTGTTCTCTTTTGAGAATCAAACAGAACAGATTTAAATAAAAAAAAAGAATGCAAACAAACAAGTGAAATGAACTAAATTGCTGAGTTGCTTTTAATTCACTGGCAGGAGCGACAAGTGAGAAGGAGCAGAAAGTGAACAACGAGGGAGAGATTGAACAAAGAGAAAGAGTAGAGGACAGAGAGAGTAATGAACAGGAAGAAGACGGAGAGACTAAAGAAGATGGAACAGAGGGGGCAGGTTATGGAAAGGAGAGAGACATGGAAAATGAATGTTGACAATGTTTTGTGATCATTTTAGCCTCTTCTGCATGTCCAGATCATTCATAGTAACAATCAACTGATTCTTATGCATTACACTTTCAAAAATAATGTATTCTGCAGCCCACTGACATGGTTTGAAATCAATATATTATCCAATGTGTGACCCCCCACAGGACTTAAAAAGCACCTAACTAGATCATGAAAATCCCAAAAATCTCAGGGGGGGTATACCCCCGAACCCCCTTATCATGTTTGGACCTCGGTATTTAGGAAATCCTGGATACGGCCCTGATCACACGGACGTGTTATCTATGATTACTATACGCCTTACATTCATAGAGTGGCGAAGTCCCTCCCCTTCCGGTGGACCTCCATGGGACCTTATTTCGGAAAAATTATGTATTGAAGTCAATGGAGAGAGAAAGATTATCTTTCGATCCCGTTTGAATTGTGCCACGAATTACACATATGATGTTTGTCAATTTAAAAGATAATTTTGCAAGTCAAAAAAAAAAAAATGTGTCGTAAAACTGTGAAGTAACACATTTGTTTGTGTGAAACGCTCAATGAACTACATCTCTGGTCAACACACGTCACCAAGATGGCCGTCACTACTGTCTTGTCAACAAAACGATTGACTATCCTCACTATCACCACAATGAAACACGTCCTGAAGAATGTCATGCAAAGCTGCCTGCCTGCCTTCCTTTGATTCTCTCTGAACTGCCTGGTCGTTTTAATGTTTAATGTCAACCATTTGTGCAGATAGCATGAAGTAGAGAGGATCGCTAGCGTTAGCGTTAGCATTTCTCCCCCGGGCTTAAATTGTGTATTATAGAATGATCACACCGGTGACAGTACTCTTCAAAGGGTTCACGAAATATGACTACTACTCTTACTGTTTAACATTGTGGGTTGCTTAATGTTACTTCATGTTAAGGCTAATAAAAATGACAAGGCTGTAATGCTAACTAACGATCATTTGACTTCGCCACTGAATACTGTCAGCGAGAGCGGCGCTCCTGAAGAGCAGGGTGCGAGTGAGAGCTGTCATCTTCCCTTTACAAGCTTCAAACATGTATTTATCGTGTGATTTGGGAAATAAATAAAATTTTGGGTTTCATATTCTGAAAGCCAATACTTTGTTTATTTAAAATCAAGCAAAACACCCGAACCCCGAGAAACTTTTTTTTTACGCAAATCCACGTTTATTTTTAAATGAGCCGTTGCGACTTCCGACTGATTTCGATAGAGCGGTTAATATTAAACCCACAAAAAGCCCCGCTAAAAACAAGCTGGAAAAAATGAGTGCAACACAAACTTAAGAGCTTACGGAGTAGACTGGACATAAGGAACACACTTCGGGTGTTATTGTCTCCCATTACCCCTAGATTGGACCGGCTTGTTGCAGAGACACAAGCTCAGGGCTCCCACTAATTCAGCGTAATGGTGAGTTGTATTTTTATGCACTTTATATATGTTTTTATGCCGGTGTTCAACTGGTTATTGTGTTAACTGGTTAGATCTGCTTACGCATTTACTTCGATTACCTCCTTCTTTTGCAGATGTGCGAGAGACTTCAGAGACTTTGAGACAGCAAACTGTGTTGAGTCAGTGTTTGAACGGGCAGATTGTCTGTAAACTGCAGGCTGCAGTATATAAATCAAGCCTGTAATAAATAAATAAAATCGATTGAACTATAGCCGAGGCAATTAAAGTTTGAACCCATGCTTTGAAAAACGCTACTTTACTTGCATATTATCTAATCGTCTGTGCCGCGGTGCCGTAGACACGTTTTTTTTTTGTTGCCTTTGTGGTTTGATTGCAACATTCAACCCAATGGAAAATAGCTAACCAGTTAACACAATAACCAGTCAAACAGGAACACAGGTGGTATTATTTTATTTCGTATTATTTATCCCCCCACAACTTGAAGGCCGGTCAGCGAAAAATATTTTCTTACATGAAACCGGTCCGTGGCGCAAAAAAGGTTGGGGACCGCTGCTGTAAAGAATAATTGTCACTAGGGGGCGGCAAATCACAAAGTTGACAGATTATCACAGTATAAAGTAGTTAAAGCCAGTGATGCATTTTGAAGCATCTAAGCACATATACTCAAGTAGCCTACTGTACTTAAGTACACATTTGACATACTTGTACTTTTCAGATCATTTTCATTTTATACTGCTTTATACTCTTCTACATTTTGGGAGCCAATCTTGTACTTTTTTTGTACTTTTTACTCGACAAGTTGCGTTATACATTCTTAGGACATTTTTTTGTTTTTATAAAGATTAAATCAGGGGTCTCCAACCTTCTTTAGGATGAGAGCTACTTTCAAAAAATAAAACAAGTCGTGAGCTACTTTTACTCCTCTTTTTATTGTTTTTTGCAGTGTATATATTTAGCACATTTTAACATTATGATATGCTGACCTTTAACCTTTGTGTGCTGTTTGGATCTGTGGGACCCGTTTGCAGTGTTTACTAAAAGAAAATGTATTCAATTTAATTATTTTAACCTGCTTTATTTGGGGATGGACCTCACCTCCTCTAGGGGGGTCCTCACCTCCTCTAGGGGGGTCCGGGGGCATGCACCCCCGGGAAGATGTTTTTTTAAATGTTGAAGTTAAATGCATCAATCTGGAGCACTTTGAGCACAAAATGAATTTATGGAAACAGCTCTCAACACTCAGATGAAAGGGAGCTGTATACTTTTCAATAATCCAAACATCTTTAGAATATGATCACAACCAATAACAAATCATTTAAACTGGTTTATTCTTATCTTATGTTACCTAGTTAGCATTCTTTCTTTCTATGTATGCATATTTTACTAATCACTCCACTTTTAAACTTTTTTTTTTTTTTACTGTCCTATACACATTGGAATGATTTCTGACTTTATTTTTTACAACTAGGCTATATTAAATAGATAAAGGTGTGCTCTCTCTCTCTCTCTCTCTGTCTCGCTCGCTCACAGAGGCTGTGTGCTCCTCCGTGGCGATGACGGCTTGCGTTAAAAAATCTGGGGGAAACAGGATTTTGAAAAGTGTCCCCCCCCTGTCCCCTGTCCCCCTGTCCCCAGTGGAAATTACGCCATGCGTGTGTTTGCGTGCAATAAATAAATATGCAAGTTGCAACACACACACAGTAAAACTCTGCCCCCCATGTGTTGTATAGGCTGGCATGATAGGCTGTTCAATGGGGCTGATGTGTTGTGTAGATTCTGCCAGAAGGAAAATCACGGTCACACTCCTTATGAAGCGGTGAGCTGCCGCTCCACATTGCTTTTCTTCTCGACTGCAACGCTGGTCCCGCAAATCAAGCAAGAACGTGATTGGTCGATATTCATGGTGGGGGGTGGGGGGTGAGGGGAGGAGGGGTGTTAGGTAGATATAGAGTTGGAGTAAGTAGATAGAGTTCGCTATGATTGAGGTTTCGTTCATGCATAGGGTAGATTCTTTTAATTACATTTCCTTTTTTTGTGTATTCTTTACATTTTAGATTTGCTTGGCGAGCTACTTATTGAGGGCTTGCGAGCTACCGGTAGCTTGCGATCGACGTGTTGGCGACCCCTGGATTAAACCTAAATCTAACATTATATTTAAACAACTCAAACCATGGTTGGATTAACAGAAAATGAATTGGCAAAAAAACATTTCACAGTTCCAGCTTCTTTGATGTGAAGATTTGTTGCTGTTGCTTTAAAATACGAAAGAAATACGAAAAAATCTTCAATGTGTATACCTTTACTCCTAACCCTCTAAGTACATTTTCTTAATGGTTCTTAAATACTTTTACATAAGTACGATTGTCGTTGAAGTACATTTACTGTGTGGTATTAGTACTTTTACTCGAGTAAAGAATCTGAATACTTTTTCCTCCACTGACTTGTTGTCTATTTACACTGGGGTTTCTGAAGAGTCAATCTTAATGTGGGGGCCCCAGACTCTTTCAGAAATGGGCAGAGAGGTGGATTGTCAGTAGAGCTCAGGCTGGAAATTACAATTCAGTGCAGACGGCTCCGATTGGTGACATCACCCACCTGTCACATCCTTAATTAGGTATACATGTAAGCCTTGATATAATTTCAATGATACACAAAGATGACCTGGACAGGGTAACTAGCTAAAGAGGTCAAGACAGTTTTGTTTAAAAGGCTGTAAACATGTTTATTTCTGCTGTAAAATTGGCCATTTTACCATGGGGGTCTATAGGGATTGACTCACTTTCGGAGCTAGCCCCAAGTGGCCATTTGAGGAACTGCAACAGTTGTCTTGGAAGGAGGTAGAAAAACTTTTGAAAATCTTAAATTGTTATGCATGTGTTTTATTCTTGTACTGTATGGACAATCAATACTCCAGACTACAACGTGCTATATTCAACATGTATTGTTATACCGGAGACATGGACATGCATGTCTGGTAGGAAGGCAAACTTCACTCAACTCTCTGGCTGCGCACACTACTGTGTCTACGTTGCATCACGTGGGCCAATCATAAACAAGCATTGTTAAACAGTGATATCCACATATTCTGTAAGAATATTACAGCATGTATAAATGAAAATGGTCAGCAACAATATTTAAGTATGCATGTTAGTTAAGTAGCATTCATAGCCTAAAGCCCCTGACACACCAACTCGATTTTGGGAGTCAGAGGCCGTCAGAGGCAGTCGGGCATTCGCGGCGCCCTACTCAGGTTGGTGTGTCCCGCACCGTCGTCTCTTTACGGCACATTTTCACACCTCCCGCGGCCGATTCAACATGTTGAATCGGTAGACAGTCGGCCAAAGAAAGTCGGCCAAAGAAATCACTCTGATTGGCTGTTCAGCTTAGCGAATCAGTGCATGAGAAGCGAAGCGGAAGTGAGGGACCAAAACAAACGATTAAGAAGGCACACACAGACAGACAGAGCTACTGTCTACCACTGTTCATTGTTCATTTACCTATTGTGAGCATCACATGGAAATGTACATTTTGCAAAAAGTGGCCATTATTCAGATAGTGTTTCTGTCTGCCCCTTTATTCTTTCTCCCATTATCCTCCACAATCTGCCTAGAAGTATTTTAACGTTGTAGCTGTTCAAGATGGTCATTTTAAAATGTGTCTAATATACTGTTAGTAGTTAAACCAATAATAATGTGCGGCTGCAACTGGCAGTTATGTAGGCACATTTTTTATTTTTTATTAACGCTGTGTGATTAAAAGAATAAACACAAATAGCAGGATAGGCAATACAAAACTTTATTTCGTACCTTGATAACTACAGCCATTGATAACACAGCATTAGACATATTTGGCAAACTCTTTTTTTTATTGTATTACACCCTATTTTTATCGTATTGTATTTTTGTCGATTGTTGACATTGTACAGTTCTTTAGACATATTTGCTATATCTTATCCCACTGAAAAGGCACTGCACCAACACCGTTAAAATATTGGCATAGTTCATCCCTGTGCTGCTTGGCTCGAGCTGGATTATTGGTGCCGTGTGGCAGGGTGGCCTGCCGTAGTTCAGGGTCTTGTCTCCATCTTCCTGGGACAGCTCTCGACACAGGTTCGGGAAAGCCCCCTGAGCTTCTCGCTGTAGTATCCATGTTTTCACCCATTTAGTGCGGTTTCTCCTGATTTTTCGCTTCCGTTTCTTAATCTCTGCAGCCGCAAGCAACACTCCAATTGCTGATAACGCCAGTACCGTACGATACATGTTTTCGATCGACGAGAGAGAGTGAAAATGGAACCCAGACGCTATTTGTTGTTTGTTTATATCACGCAGTCTGTTCTTCTTCTCTCGGTGTATAACGCAGTCTGTCTTCCGGTTGTTGCCTCTTTTGAATGACGAATACACACTACCGCTGCCTGCTGGTAAGGACAGTTATTGCCACTCGTCGACTGAAGTCTTTGCGGTGTGTTCGTAGGCGGGCGGCGTAGGCGGGCGGCGTAGGCGGGCGGCGTAGGCGGGGCGGCGTAGGCGGGGCGGCGTAGGCGGGGCGGCGTAGGCGGGGCGGCGTAGGCGGGGCGGCGTAGGCGGGCGGCGTAGCCGACGCAGGCGACGTAGCGGACGTAAAAGTCGGGACGCCTTCGGTACGCGTTCTTTGGTCTCAGGTTGGTGTGTAGCGGCCTTTAAATATTTGAATAAATTGGTATGAGCCTTTAAAAATCCTACAATCTTAATTTTCTTGTCTTTTTATTCTTCACGCAGGTCCACATTACGCTCGTCCAGGCTGGATCTGGTTTAATGTCAGCAGCCTGGACCCCTCCATGCTGGGGGCAGAGTTGGTTCTGTTCAGGAAGACCCTGCACCCCCGCCCCATCAGTGTGACTGTGACCCTGCACAGTGTCACAGCCTGGCAGGGAGCTCTGAAGGAGAGTCCAGCCCTAGAGGACAGACTGCTGTCCCTGGACCAGCGGGCCTCATCTGGATATGATGTGTTTGATGTCTCAGCTGTTCTGCCTGTGAAGCCTCTGGGAGGGGTGGGCTTTCAGCTGCATTATACAGACGAGCGTGGGAGTCTGGTCCTCCATGAAGCCCTCACACAAAGTCTTTACTGTTTAAACAGAGGATCCCTGAGGGAACCCTTGCTGGTGCTTTACCAGTCACCCCCCCTCCACATCTGACTGTGACCACTGTTAGTGTGAAGCTGATCACTAAATCAACCCCCCCCACCTGATGTGGTGCCTATGCAAACTGTTTGAGCACAAAAGTGACAGGACATAATATGATAATATAATAGTCGCAATTATTCTTTAGGGCTCTTTAAATGTGCATTTGTCAGGATGTGTGCTTTTCTTTTACATAATGCAGCCTTTTTATACATTTTCTTCGTTTTTTTTGTATTATTATTATTATAAATAATAAAAACTAGTACCAGAGCAACATTTCCGATGTCATCTTTAGTTCTGAAAGTTTCTACCGGAGATGTTAGTGCTTTTTCTGTCTGACTTGATCGTAATGTTGTTTTCTTAAATCATGGGAGCTTACTGCCCTCTAGTGGAGACCCAGAGTAACTGTAACACAACATTAAAGGATATGAGAAAAAAAAGAGTCTTACCAGGGGCCTACATGCTCTGGCTTAACTATTGGCTAATACAGCTAACTGTTATTGATATCAGTATCAATAGTCTTATTAGAAACGACACCACAGTTTGGGTGACAGCTGTATTCATGTGGAGATGCGTTGATGGGAGTCTTTAGAACTGGAACTAGGGTATTTCAGCTTCTTATGAGATAAATCATAAAGGCCTTCTTATACTCCCATGAAAATGAAAATTGTAAAGCTAAGTTTGAGTTTTGGTGACTAAAATAAAGCTTGTCAAAATTATTAATATGCCCATACAGTATGAACCATATTCTGTGATTAATCACAGTAGCCCTGCAATAAACATTGATATGTGTATGTTTGTTTACCTTCATGTACATGGGTGTGTGAATACAAATGCAAATAGTAATATCTCATCAAGTAAGACTGAGGTCAACATTTCACAATGTAAGACAATATATTTTGGCTGCATTTCTTGCATTATTTTTGCCCCACAAAAAGACGGAAAGCCAATTTTATGGTTGAATATCTTCAGTTAAATACCTGCAACAGCCATGGAATTTGGAAATAAACAAAATGACCCGTAAATAGAGCTGTCTAAGATTTTCAATAGGTACCTGCAGTAACCACAACTATTTTAAATAGTTTTGGTAATTTTATAGTAAAACATCAGTAAGTGATTTTCCACCAATATTAGACATACATTATTATTTGAAATTGTTTCTGTTTTATAATATAGGCTATATGTATAGTTTATTGATTTATATTGTAACATTTTTATTTATTGTTGTCATGTTTTTTTTTTGTTTATTTATGTATTACTTAATTTATTCATGTATAATTATTATTATTATTATTATATATTTTTGTAAATGTTTCTCATCATTCTGGACACAGGAAGTGACCCTTCTTTCCTCTAAAATGATTGGCTGCCTTCTCCGTCTTTCACGTCCTTTTCTAGCCAATCATTGACGACCACCCGCAGCAGCCGCACCGCCTCCTGTAGGCGCAATTTGTCCACTAAACAGAGCAGCGTTTTTATTCTGCGGTTTACTGCGGTAACTTCCCGTTTCTGTGCTCGGTGCTGCCGGTGTTAGCGTCCTCAAACCTTCCAGAATGTTCCCGGTGCGGATGGAGAGCGGCTGCGGGAACATTTGAAGCGGACGGAGTGAAATGCATCCCCGGAGCGCTGAACCTGTTCCATCCCACACACAAAGCCTGTGAGCAGGCCGTGCTTTTCCTCTCACACCGCGCCGAGGATGCTCAAAGATGTCGGGGAATTATTACAAAGGCAACGAAGTCAGCTGCTGCATCAAATACTTCATTTTCGGATTCAACATCCTGTTCTGGGTAAGAAGCTTTATTGTGTTATTTATACGGTCTGCGCCTCTCTCAAGTGCACTTCGGTTATTATCATGTCCACCAGCCAATAGGGAGGGAGGAAGGCCCCGATATTGTTAGCATTTAATTATGCTGCCGTTGTCATGAACGATATTTTTCAGGAAGATATCAATGCATGTCTGATTGGTTTCATTCGCTCGATAACATCCTGTCGGAGCTGCTGCGGGCACTGCTCAGCTAATCGGCTTTTTGTGAACTAATGACAGCTCAGCTCGGTCCGGTCAGGATTATCATTCATATCACCCTCTGAAGCTCCATCATGTCCAACTTTCTTTTTCAATGATTGTGTAACTTTTTTATTTTTAAATGCATGTGTAATACTTCAGAGTGCATGTAGACATGATGTAATGTGTTTTAAAAAAGTGATGTCATTCATAGCCGACGGTGGTAGTTCACAGCATGACCTAACCAACATGAACACTTTGAATGCACACAGAATCACAACACAATCAGAATACCTTTATTCGTCCCACAGAGGAGAACATTTACATTTGTTACAGCAGAAAAGAGCCAAAGACAGCTTAATGTTAACTAAGAAGCATGCATTCAAATGTTTTAAATGCATATAAGTTAGGGCTGAAAATACCAAGTATTTTCGTTGTAAATGTAAAGAATACTTTGCATAAATTGTCAAAAGGTCCTTCACAAGTTCCCACATTTCCAAAAGCTGTAAACCCTGAAAGTCGATGCTTTAATGTAAAAACAAACATACATTTAATCTTTTTTCATTTGATATGTTTACTTGTAAAATGAATGTCCAGCGAATAATCAATGTATTGTGTGATGTCATTTGTTGTGGACAACAATCCCAGGAAAACGCCTCTTTTTGTTTTACAGTGACTTTATTGGAAGGGCTAACATACATGAAACATTCATGCTCTATGCTATAGTGCTGAGATATGAATAAAGAGGGTGTGAGATAAGGAGGCTGCGGTCAGAGCAGAGGCAGGATCTGATCAGGGTCACAGTGTGTGTTTTCATTAACAGTGTGACAGCCTGTCATTCTGTCACACTCATCCCTTGACTTGACTGTGGTGTTTTGCAGCTGCTGGGCATGGCCTTGGTTGCGATCGGACTGTGGGCCTGGAGTGAGAAGGTACGTCAGGACCCTGAGGGGTTGTTGGTGATACTGCCAAACAGAATACACTTTCTACCTACACTCCCACATATTTGTGGGCATACTTATATATTTGTTTTTAATAGAATTTTGTTGTTTTAATGCCACTACTTATTGAAAATTAAAGCTGCACTAATCAACATTCTTATAAAAACAATGGTTGAAATAACGGTTTGTCATTTTAAAGGGGTCATTTGTGGGGACAAACAATCAAAGAATCATCACAAACATTCCGCTCTGCAGAGCCTTTTATCCCTTTAGAGCTTGTTGTTTTGGATTTACAAACTGCAACCAAGTGCAACCTCCGGGTCTGAAAATGAAATCCAATGCAAAAGGGCCGAAACCTGCAGTCTGTCTTTTGGCCATCAGGGGGCAACTTCGCTAAAAGACTGGTGATTGTATATAGTTGATCAGAAAATAAACCTAGTATCACTTGCTAGTAAGTTTATGGCCTCATACCCTGATTGGAAGTACTCTCCAAATACAGCATGTTTTAAATTATGGTTGCATTTAGAGTTAAAATAGACGTAGGCTAATTGTTTTTTCAGCCATCAAACTCCACTACCCACGCTAACAGCGCTAACAGCAGACCTACAAAGTTGGCAATTAGTTAACAAACTATAGCTTCTATCAGTTTGTTCTACTGCTCCCTATTGGGCAGAGAATACAAAAATCAGCTTTCAATTAAATCCTCCAACCCCGATTCAAATTGTCAAGCAAATCTAAATCTCTCCGGTCAAAATGTCTGGTCAAAATGTCCGGTCAAAATCATTTCCCCTTAGCGCAATACAGCATCAGTTGCGCCACTTACGTGACAGACAAGAAGAGTACATTCTAATGTCTAACATTTAATGTGGAGAAAGAGATGTATCCTCCTGAAGGGGACATTTTGACCCCTCATGTAAACAAATGCATAATGCTGCGCTATACTTTGCCGCCACAGCCCGTTGCCAAGCAACGCTTATTGTTTAGGAGGTGTCCTTTGATAAGCAGGCAGTCATATCATTAGCCAGAACTAGCTAGATTTGATCGATAAGTGAAGTCTAATCGGACGCGAGAGAGAGATCAGAGATCAGATCAGCCGCTGCTGACGGAGACACGCAGCTCTGCATGATCACCTGCAGCTCTACATGATGCAGCTCTGCATGATCACCTGCAGCTCTACATGATGCAGCTCTACGATCACCTGCAGCTCTACATGATGCAGCTCTGCATGATCACCTGCAGCTCTACATGATGCAGCTCTATGATCACCTGCAGCTCTACATGATGCAGCTCTATGATCACCTGCAGCTCTACATGATGCAGCTCTGCATGATCACCTGCAGCTCTACATGATGCAGCTCTGCATGATCACCTGCAGCTCTACATGATGCAGCTCTATGATCACCTGCAGCTCTACATGATGCAGCTCTATGATCACCTGCAGCTCTACATGATGCAGCTCTATGATCACCTGCAGCTCTACATGATGCAGCTCTATGATCACCTGCAGCTCTACATGATGCAGCTCTATGATCACCTGCAGCTCTACATGATGCAGCTCTATGATCACCTGCAGCTCTACATGATGCAGCTCTGCATGATCACCTGCAGCTACTTTGATCACCTGCAGCTCTACATGATGCAGCTCTATGATCACCTGCAGCTCTACATGATGCAGCTCTATGATCACCTGCAGCTCTACATGATGCAGCTCTATGATCACCTGCAGCTCTACATGATGCAGCTCTATGATCACCTGCAGCTCTGTCCACTGTGACGGACTGGTGAGCGGAGCAAAACACACACTTCAAGTTAGACCTAACACACTTAGCTAGTTGATCTACCTCTGGAACAACCTAAACTAGTTATAAATATATTTATTCTTTACTGTCGGGTCACTCATTACTGGATCAGCGAGCTGCATACTGACGGGCTGTCAGGAGAGAGAGAGGGGGAGAGAGAGGCTCCGTTTATTATTCCCTTTGTTATTATCCAAAGTTACTGTACACTTTTGAATAATGTAGTTGATCTACTATAATTAGTTTGTTTAATATAGAGTCGTTATCAATTTGTTTTAAAGCTCAATAAATAACAAAGAAGACCTTTGACCGGCACTTTTCTCATTTTGTCCGGAAGATTGAAACTTTAACGGACATGTTGACCGGCGGAAAAACATTCTAACGGACACTCTGGCCCCTAGGTGTCTGGTTTAGTATTGTAAATGGGTCTAAAATGAATCCGAGTGCAGCGTGTATCAGAGGGTAAAGCCTTTTCTCTTGTTTTATTTGTGCTTCCATCCTGTGTGATGTCACTGCGAGCCTCTTGGCAGATGTTCAGTCCTGCAGAGACGCAGCTGGGTCTGACCGGTTCTGTCTCTGTCCTCAGGGGGTTCTGTCCAACATCTCGTCCATCACAGACCTGGGGGGGCTGGACCCAGTCTGGCTCTTCATGGTGGTCGGCGGGATCATGTTCATCCTGGGCTTTGCAGGATGTATTGGAGCACTGCGGGAGAACACCTTTCTACTGAAGTTTGTACGTTCCATGATAAGACGTCCATTCTGCGCGCTGATGGGATGACTGATGGAGAAACTCACCCACTGTTTGTCTTTCTGACCGCTGTAGTTCTCCGTGTTTCTGGGAATCATCTTTTTCTTGGAGTTGACGACGGGGATCCTGGCGTTTGTCTTCAAGGACTGGATTAAAGACCAGCTCAACCTGTTCATCAACAACAACATCCGGGCGTACCGCGACGACATCGATCTACAGAACCTCATCGATTTCACCCAGGAATACGTACGCTAGAAAACAGCATGTTAATTTATAGTTAAACACAACATCATCCTTATTGTACTTCCAGTCAGATCCACTCGTACTAGTAATTAAAAAATGTATTTGATCATGTTGGTCTACAGAGGAAACCTGTAATTCAGATAAAGCCTCTAACAGTGCTCTGCTCTGCTTCAGTGGGACTGCTGCGGTGCGTTCGGAGCGGACGACTGGAACCTCAACATCTACTTTAACTGTACTGATGGGAATCCCAGCCGGGAAAAGTGTGGAGTCCCCTTCTCCTGCTGCACCAAGGACCCCGCGGTACGAGACCCTCATTCCTTCACTTCTCCATAAACATGTTAGTTATAGTTGTAGCATTAAAATATACTTTACGTACCAAAAGTAGAAGTACTTGTTATGCAGAATGGCTCATTTAAGCACCACATGTTTACAATTATTTTATCCTAATTATTGATGCATGACCATCATTTCAACGGGTTTATTTGAATTACTTTATATACTAGTCGGTAGCTTGACTTATAATAATAATGCATTAATTGATATGTATTTTGTATTAGAAATCTAAATCTGCAAAGTAGCTAGTAACTAAATCTGTAAAATAAATGTAGTGGAGTAAAAAGTATAAAATAGCATAATGTGGAAATACTCAAGTCAAGTACAAGTACCTACATTTTAAACTTAAGGACAGTACTTGAGTAAATTTACTTGGTTACGTTCCACTACTGGTAGCACATTAGGTCAAGCTCATTCAGATGTTCCTTTTTGAATTTGAACCCTTCCTGTACATAAACATGTCTTTGTATAGCTTGTCACATCATAAGGCTGTTTTTAATATACAGCTGCTCTTTGTGTCTGTAGGAGGACGTCATAAACACTCAGTGTGGATACGACATCCGAGCTAAACCAGTAAGTCTTCACTCACTCTTCCTCTCTCTTGGATTCTCTTCTCTTATGTATGACTCGGTTGGAGTTTTTGTTCACTTTTTTATAGATGTTATGTAGCTATTTAGTGCTAGTGATGTTACAAGGGTTTTGAAGGCAGGCTGAAGGTGTTTTAAAGCTGCTAATAGTCAAAAATCATGCTAATGCTACATCTTGCTATTGAAGACCATGATTTAAAAACTATTATTATTATTTTCACTTCGAAATGAAAGGGTAGGAAAATCTCCGATGTGACAGATATGTTACATTTTAGAACTGATTCATGTTAATTGAGTTGTTTATGGGAAGACATGGACCTGACCTGATTTAGTGAGAAATTAAAAACAGATATAAAATCAGATATCCATTCATTATTATTTGAATTAATCTTATTGGAGGTGTAATAGTGTTCTATCATCATGGCCATTACCATAGTCTGCAGATGTGGCTAAACACTGCTTCCATTCCCATTCAAGAGTTTCCATAGTGTTGAGATTTTTCTCAAATGAAGAGAGAAACTGGGTACAGTAAAAATAAAACTATATTGAACTAGCGCTGTGCAATTAATCGCAATTACGATTTTGGCCTGCCACAATTACGAAAAACAACATAATCGAAAAAAACGATTATTTAGCTTTGCTAGGTTGTGACAGTGCACTGCAACATATTTGATCTAATGTATTTGTATTTATCATATTTATATATGTTTAGTAGCTTGTTGAAGTGCGCTCCAAAATATTTGCTGATCTTGTTTATTGGTATTTATTATTTTTGATATTATTTATTTAAATGTAGATATAAATGTATCATTTATTTAATTTATTTTTGTATTGGTTTTTCAGTTGAATTATACGTTCAGGGAAATCAACAGTTAAAAAGATACTGTTCAAATTATTATTTGTATTTTAAAGTTCAATAAATGGATGTTTTCAAAGTCAATGAATAATCGTATTTAATAATCGTGATATCAATTATTGACCAAAATAATCGTGATTATGATTTTTGCCATAATCGCACAGCTCTATATTGAACGTATCTAACCTGCGGTACAAATAGCCAGATCTGAAGTGTACGATGATGAGTGTGTGTTCCCGCAGGACTCGGAGCAGAAGGACTACATCAACGTGAAGGGCTGCGTGCCTCAGTTTGAGAAGTGGCTGCAGGACAACCTGACCCTGGTGGCGGGGATCTTCATCGGGGTCGCACTACTGCAGGTCAGATCCACTTCTATGTGAAACCTTTCTAATGTTCCAGAAAAAAATGCATCTGTTTCAAAAGTATGTTTTTTTTTTCTTTGATCCACAGATCTTTGGAATTTGTTTGGCCCAAAACTTAGTGAGTGACATCGAAGCTGTGCGGGCGAGTTGGTAAGAAATGAGCTTTACTTTGAATACCTAATATCAAATGTATCCTGTTTTTGAGGCACACTTCCCTTCGATTTGCACCCTGTGTTTCCATTTCACACCATGAGGCAGTTCAGCTCTGTCCCTGTAGAACTGCTGGAAGAGTCTCTCATGTTGTAGAAACATCCGGCCATATCAGGTTATTCCATTTTTGAAAAATCTGTGTATTCCATGGTGGTGCTGGATTCTTAAGATACTTTTTGGATTATAGTACTAGTCACAGTTAGCAATGCCCCCAACATTGTTTCTAAGTTGTTCTTGGTACTCACCTTCTATGTGAGGTAATTTCTCAAATGAAACATAATAATAAGCAGTGGTGTGACATTACAAGTACTTTTAGTCAAGTACTGTACTTAAGTTCAATTTTTGGAGATATTGTACTTTATTCTCCACTACATATAATGAGATAGCTAAGTCATTATAATGAGATAGCTATCTCATTATAATGACTTAACTATCTCATTATATTGACTTAGCTATCTTATTATATTGACTTAGCTATCTCATTATATTGACTTAGCTATCTTATTATATTGACTTAGCTATCTCATTATATTGACTTAGCTATCTCATTATAATGACTTAACTATCTCATTATATTGACTTAGCTATCTTATTATATTGACTTAGCTATCTCATTATATTGACTTAGCTATCTTATTATATTGACTTAGCTATCTCATTATATTGACTTAGCTATCTTATTATATTGACTTAGCTATCTCATTATATTGACTTAGCTATCTTATTATATTGACTTAGCTATCTCATTATATTGACTTAGCTATCTTATTATATTGACTTAGCTATCTCATTATATTGACTTAGCTATCTCATTATAATGACTTAACTATCTCATTATATTGACTTAGCTATCTTATTATATTGACTTAGCTATCTCATTATATTGACTTAGCTATCTTATTATATTGACTTAGCTATCTCATTATATTGACTTAGCTATCTTATTATATTGACTTAACTATCTCATTATATTGACTTAGCTATCTCATTATATTGACTTAGCTATCTTATTATATTGACTTAGCTATCATTATATTGACTTAACTATCTCATTATATTGACTTAGCTATCTTATTATATTGACTTAGCTATCATTATATTGACTTAACTATCTCATTATATTGACTTAGCTATCTCATTATATTGACTTAGCTATCTCATTATATTGACTTAGCTATCTCATTATATTGACTTAGCTATCTCATTATATTGACTTAGCTATCTTATTATATTGACTTAACTATCTCATTATATTGACTTAGCTATCTCATTATATTGACTTAGCTATCTTATTATATTGACTTAGCTATCTTATTATAATGACTTAGCTAAGTCAATATAATAAGATAGCTAAGTCAATATAATGAGATAGCTAAGTCAATATAATAAGATAGCTATCTCATTATAATGACTTAACTATCTCATTATATTGACTTAGCTATCTCATTATATTGACTTAGCTATCTTATTATATTGACTTAGCTATCTCATTATATTGACTTAGCTATCTCATTATAATGACTTAACTATCTCATTATATTGACTTAACTATCTCATTATATTGACTTAGCTATCTCATTATATTGACTTAGCTATCTTATTATATTGACTTAGCCAAGTCAATATAATGAGATAGTTATCTCATTATATTGACTTAGCTATCTTATTATATTGACTTAACTATCTCATTATATTGACTTAGCTATCATTATATTGACTTAACTATCTCATTATATTGACTTAGCTATCTCATTATATTGACTTAGCTAAGTCAATATAATGAGATAGCTATCTCATTATATTGACTTAGCTATCTCATTATATTGACTTAGCTATCTCATTATATTGACTTAGCTATCTCATTATATTGACTTAGCTATCTTATTATATTGACTTAACTATCTCATTATATTGACTTAGCTATCTCATTATATTGACTTAGCTATCTTATTATATTGACTTAGCTATCTTATTATATTGACTTAGCTATCTCATTATAATGACTTAGCTAACTCATTATAATGACTTAGCTAAGTCAATATAATGAGTTAGCTAAGTCATTATAAGTCAACGTGAGCCTACTTTGTTCATGTACTGTTGAGGTTAATTTCAGTAGTTGTGTTCTATAATGTATTTACAAAGTGTGAAGAGGAGGCAACTTCAGAATAGGGAACCTGTTCAGGTCAATTAGAGTCAAACTAATAGCTTATTGGTTATGAACAAGACTTCACTTTAAAATAGGGAACATATTCTTAGATAGAAATACATAATTTTGAGTTATTTAGACATATTGAGGAGAGCATATTAAGACCAAGGCTCATGTACAACAACTTCCTTACTTGCAATAAATAAGCACTAATTAGAGGGTTATTGAGGAAAAACTCTCAACTAATGGCCTAGTACTTGTAGAATATGGTCATTTAGAATAAGGCATTAATAAGTGTTTTATAATGACTAATAAAGAGCCAATATACTGCTAATATGCATGTTAACTAGTTGATGGTGAATTTGTGTACCATAATATAAAGTTGTTCCGCTTATATGATGAACATAGATGTCCATGTGCCTTATTCTGTATTTGACATCATTGTTTCAATAAAAAGAAAATACAGTTATAATAAGTCATTACAATGAGATAGCTAAGTCAATATAATGAGATAGTAAGTCAATATAATGAGATAGCGAAGTCATTATAATGAGATAGTAAGTCATTATAATGAGATAGCTAAGTCAATATAATGAGATAGTAAGTCAATATAATGAGATAGCTAAGTCAATATAATGAGATAGCTAAGTCAATATAATGAGATAGTAAGTCAATATAATGAGATAGCTAAGTCAATATAATGAGATAGTAAGTCATTATAATGAGATAGCTAAGTCAATATAATGAGATAGTAAGTCATTATAATGAGATAGTAAGTCATTATAATGAGATAGCTAAGTCAATATAATGAGATAGTTATGACTTACAGGATTTTTTTTTCCTATGGCGCAAACAGGCTTCCATATAAGAGCTGTTCTATCATGTATTTTATTAATTCATCATAAATAATCAAACTCTTGAGTTTAAGGTGACTCCACACTCCATAAAAGTGCTTTAGAAATACTGCAAAGTAACCCTGCTTCCTCCTCTCAGCATGCAGCATTTTGCTGTTTCAGTATTTGTCAGTGTTAGCTAGCTAGTTAGCAGTAGGTTAGCAATTTGTTCAGAATGATATACAGAATCATTTTAAACAGTTATAACAATAAACAAATGTTTAAAACCCAAGTGATCGAAAATCGAAATTAATCTTTTCTGGACTTTTAAAGTGAGAGTTGGCACAGTTTTGTTGACTTTGGGAACTTTGATCAGACGTGCTAACCTTGTGTTGGTAGCTAACAAGCTAGCTAACTAGCTGTAGGCCATTGTTTGTCCTTACAAATATATCAGCATTTCTAGAAGTATGAAATAATAAACTCACCTATTGAGAACAGTCTAAAATAAAGATACTTGTCATGTAAACGGATCTTGATAGATGTGTTAACCTTAAACTGAGGTTTGATCTACTACTAGCAACTTAACATTGTATCTTAGCATTGTTAGCATTGTTAATAAGGTCCCACTATGATACTTTAAGGACCATGAATGATAGTGAATCATGGAACATAGTTTCTAGTCACTGCATGTTGATGACCTTCCTACAGTTCCTATGAGCCGTAGCGTTGGGTTGGTTTGCATTAATGAGCCTTCAGTCATGTGGCTTAGACAACAATCCCTTCTTTCTTTTTGGCTTTGCCTCCACTGTGACTTTTTCCAACTGAAGACATTTCTTTCTTTTCTCTCGCTCTCCATGAACTCTTTCTCTCTCCAGCCTGTAGTTTAGATCCTTTGCAGAACACTGTTTTCAAGCATTCCCAACCTTAACCCTTAACTTCTGCTTCCTGTTGTGCCCCAGCTTTTATTTTGAAATAAACACAAGGGGGTTGGAGCTTTGTTAACAAGCAGATCATTTAAAACAACTCTAATGATTTCTGCCTTCTATGTCCTTTTTACAGTTTCTTTACCTGATGCTTGAAGCAGCATTTCAACTCTAACAGGTAACCTTTTTTATTACATTAAATGTGGCTGTATAAATCTAGTACTTATCAGAAAGTGATGTTTATTACATTTTGTCTATTTTTGTGTTGTCAGCTCCGGGTTCTTGAACACGCCTCCTTGAACACATCATGGGGGGGCATTCAGAGGACCTCACGGATCACCTGCACCATTTTGTTCACTGAACCAGCACCTTTTTTCAAGGCACTAATATGTGAAACGCTCTGTAAATAACACTGTGTGTGACTTCTGTAAAAAAAGAGAAATGTTGGGGAGGATGGTTAAACATGCACTACATGCAGGTCGTCACAATGCTCCAGTTTTGATAGCTACATGTAGAGAGTAGGAGTTTTGATACATCTTTTTGATATTAGATCGGTATTTTTCACTGTGGACATAACGCTGCATTGCTAAACCCATCATGTAGGACAGTGACATAATTGTGAACAAGAAGCTGAGGATCAGTTGAGTGCTCCATGTTCTCTCCGTCACTGAGGCAAAGTTACAAAACTGAAAACAGGATGTCCTTCTTTTTTTTTCAAATGAACACGTTGTTAGATGTTAGTGTGTTACAGCAGATTCAAGGACCTCTTCAGATACAGACACACATTCCTATTTAACCATTGACAAGAATGACTCATTGAATAACCTGCTTTACAAAACTAGAGAGTTCTTGTGGTGGCAATGAATTGTAATTGCTCAGTGACAGACAGAGGATGGATAGTTGTGGGTACTGAAGAGCTAAATGTCCTCCTGAAACTTACTTATATAGCATTGAAGGAAAGAAATGGACTAAAAATGACTTCCATTATTTAACATAGGGAGTCACCAGTAGAGCAGAAAGGGATCAGTTAATTTATTGATTATACTGATTTTCACATTTACCTTTGGGTTTTGAACCACTGCTTTTTTTGATACTGTCTAAATTAAAGTACTAAAAACGTGTAACTACATGTCAGATATCTGAAAAAGGATATTAACTGATTTAAATCCTTTTCCAATTTTGGACCATTTTATTTGTTGTTGTATGGTTACTCATAGACAACATTTAAAGTTCAAAATCATTCTGGCTTTTTCAAGTCTTATCTCAATACAACTGCTACTTCTAAGGTGTCTCTATTGCAGTTATTGTTGCTAAAGCTTGTACAGTTTTTCAACAGTCAATCAATCAAATAGGCGTCTTTGAACCAGTGACTGAATACATCCCAACTCTGAAAGACATGCTGATGGACTCATTTGGACCAGGGTTCTGAAGGTATTTGAACCAGTTTGGATAAAAGGAATGATTATAGCGACCTAAAGCTCAACACATGGTATATGGGTATTATGGCCTTTAGAAATATGAACTTTTTGGAAAATATTGGATTTTGCACCTATTTGCTATTCACAAAATGAGCAGTTCAAAATAACATGTGTTGGCATGTTAAAAAAAGGTAGCTCAGTCCTATCCAATAGAAAGACGACATTGCAAATCTTAAGCAGCCTTTCTTCCTGAAACATGTTTGATCCAGTATGACCACGAAGCGTGTGTAACCTCGCTGTCAGTGTTTAGCTGTCCAGGTGTCACAGTTCTGTGTAGAGAGCCAAGGATACAGTCCTCTCTCTGGTGTGGATCTGAGCATTTCTAATACACTTCATATTTTGAGACGGGCATTTTGGAACATTTTCAATTCATATTATATGTGTAGCCCATGATTGTCTTTCACTGTGTGTATTTTTGATCTGATCAGTATACACAATAATGAATGATCTAAATCTTTAAATGTATTCTGGATTGCAACTTAATTTCAAAATAGATGAAGATTTTTCTCAGTGTTCCTTTTGATGGTTTAGGACGATTATTTGCTCAAAGCATGCATCACTTGTTTGGTTTTGCGGTATCTTTTCAGTATGTCAACATTGATATTGTGGAACTTGTACACTGAAAACGTGGAAGTGTTATCTACTTTAAAAGGGATTAATAGTGTTTTTGATACTAAATATTTATTGTACATTTGGTTTTATAACATCTCTGGTGTATTGGACAGCAAAACCTTCATTTCTACTGAAGCCGATGTGTCTCTCACATGAGAGCGTGTGCATTTCACTCATCACTTCCTGTTCCACTTTACTGATTGTTTAGATGATCACAGAATTCCCCACAAACATTGTAATGTAACTACCTCCTCTCATCTCCGTTTCTCATTTCCTGTTGAAATTGGACTGATTTTACCATCAAGTAAAATGTATTAAGGTGACAAAAAAACCTGAGTTTTTTTGCTTTCTTGTCTCGAGTGATATATTTCGTCCAGATTTGTTGGCACCTACAGCTAACCGATTTGTTTATGCATTGCACTTCCCACACAGCGTCTGCCGGTGTCCTGGACATCGTTGGTGTCCTGCTGCTTACACTACACTACTAAAAGAAAAACGTTGATACAGATAATCATTACCCGATTCAGTACGACAAAAGGAAAGCCGCTTCCAAAGTAGAAATGGAGAAAAAGGATTTTTTCATTGTGAGATTGACGGGAAAGGCCTGGCTTGGTTGGGATCCCAGTTGTGTTTTAGTAAAGCATGGGAATCAGATCAGATTCTACTTTATTATCATTGCACAGTGTCGTCAAAATTGGTATAAGGAGGGCATATGCTTTGGCGCCCTTTTTTAGCAAAACGCAGATAAATTAGCATCAATAGCAACAAGGAAAAACCCCGCCTACTTTTGGTGGTCATTGACAACACCCCCTTACATTTGGTCAGATTTTTGTGCTAATCAAAAAGGCTCAGAATTAGGCAGTTTAGCTCGAACAAAATGTCACTTTGTTTTGTTTTCTCTTACATGCCTATGTCCTGCAAAAACATTTTTTTGTAAATTATTTATTTGACTTGTTTGAAATAAATGTATCAATCAATCAATTTGGTCCTGGATCTGCCCCCTGGTCTCCTCCCAGCTGGACGTGCCTGGAACAGGAGGCATGCTCCTTCATCCCCTCACTGAGAACAAGACCCGACTCCTAGATTTGGGGTAAGGACTCATTCTCTACTCCAAGTGCAAATTCTATTGGTTTCCTGTACAGCAGTGATTTTCAATGTCAGCCTGCAACGTAGAGACTGGCTAATTAAAACTCAGTAGGTAGCACAATAATGACCGTGTTAATCTAAGACAGTTACAGGTGGGGTAGGTAAGTTTGAGAAACCGGCTCGAGATCGCTTGAATTTGAAAATACACAACCGGAGAAAATCTTCCACTTCCTTACAGAGCCCCTCCTCCAACACACACGAACGCGCACATGACCAATGAGGGCACGAGATACGTTTGTGCACAGATGGAAGGCTGACAGGCAGGTAGGCCATCCAGTTATTTTAGCCGGGCCGGCTAAAATGATAGGTCGTGCTTTTTACAGCACTACGGCTTCCACAGATGATATTTTTTTATGGATTTTTTGTCAAAGCACTTAAGATATTCATTGCTATCGGGATGTTAAGAGCATTCCATGGAATATAACAAAAAGTGTATCTCGAGCCGGTTTCTCAAACTTACCTACCCTACCTTTAAGTGATGCACGGTAGAGGTTGAAAAGCGATGGATAAATATTTGAGAAGTAAAAATGCAGACTGGCTTTTGGACAAAATTCTAATCCAGATCAAGACAAGTATGAGAGGCGGTCAAAGGAAAGAAAAAACGGAAATGTGTCATTTTGTAACTTTTTTAGTAGTAAAAAAGCCGTGGTAAAAAAAAATGTATAGCGGCTCTAAAAGGTTAAAAAACTCTTCTGTAGGGAAACAATGGCCTCAGATTTAGAGGTGCTGATCCAGTTCACATTCTCTCTAAACGTAGCACACAGAAGAACACGGAGCACATTTTAGAGTTGTACCAGAATGAAGACACCAGCCATCACCAGCTATCATCTTTTATTATCTGCTGAGTTACAATCCTCCAAATGTACAACTCATGACATTTACAACAAACACTTAAGTTTATAGTATTTTACGCAGTTACTATGGATACATCTCCACAGGCATGTGTCTTTAGAAGAGCACAAATCTGATAAATAACCATTCATACCTTTTTTTTTTTTAAAACAAGAAGAAAATAAGCATTGTCCCAGACCAGGAAACATGGTGGCTGATGGAGCGTCGTAACGTGTCGGACATGCTGACGTGTGCATGTTAGCAGAATTCCCTTTGACTAGAACACCCAGCTGTCCAACATAAAGCGTTGTATGCTGCTGTCTGCACTCAGTATCTGCTCTCACAGGACCCCAGACTTTGCTCCACGACACTCTCAAACTGTACGCTTTTTGTCACACTTTAAAATGTCCTGCAGTCCAAAACACACTTTTGTGATTTTCTTTGCCTACTTTTACTTTAGCTTTTCATGTTCTTGGCTGCTCTTCATTGCTAACGCCACGATCTCATGCCCATTCAAAAACACTTAAAAAAAAAATCTTTTGATTGGTATTTTCCTTAGTTTGACCACAGTGCTATAAGGAACACTTATCTGTAGAAATCTGGGTGCGCAAGATGTTAAACTTATCAGCAAACTGCCATGATTTGATTGGATTGATGTTGTTCTGAGCAACCTGCAGTATAAGACTACCAGCATATTATTATTTTCACTTATCAATTTCCTATTTTGGTCTTCAACTCGGCCGCTCTCAGCTTAACTGGACTAACAAAAGTAGACTTTTCTCAACTATTTGCTTCACATGGTCCTCAGCGATGGGATGGAGCCTCTAGCTGTTGTGTTTGCACAACAGTGGAATAAAACATCTGAACAAATCTCTAGATCTTACATAACAAGTGCAAAAAATCAAAAAGGAGTGTATAAGACTGGAGGTGGGAGTGGGGGGTGCAGGCGGTGTTCTGCAGGCGGTGGAGAGGTCGAATGAACACTGTCACACCTTCAACAGGACTAAAACATGCACAGTTTCTAGTCAATTTATACTCGAGCTACATGGGACACGACTGGGCACATCATGGTTGGCTGCTTTTCTTAAAAATAAAATAAAAATCACAACAGGAAGGTTTTTTTTGTTCTTTTGTGCACATTTTTCACTGGTGGGTTACCTGCGGATGGTCTCACAGCTATGGTCGTAAAGAGTGTAGTCTCTTATCTATTGCGTTGGCTGTTTATGGCGCCTCGGTACACGATGGGACCAGGGTTAGACTGATGATCAGTACACAAAGATAGAAAATAAACCAGTAATGAAAGGTGATCAGTGTTGGTTTGTAAACCTGCATTAAGGACGTGCTAACCAACCAAAATAAATGATTATGGCTTTCAGAGTGTTGGTGTCCCACAGTAGTCTAAAAACAGTTTCAGAGGCATTTCCACTCTTACAACGATTCAATTCTTATTTAAAATAAAGATTTTATGATGAAGTATTGGCAATCCGGATAGACACCAGTCTAACCCTAGTGGAGGGGGAAGGGAATGACTGTGATTGGCTGGCAGTTAACGAGACATGGTACCTTGGCAAATGAGGATGGGCAGGGGGGGGGAGCAGTCATGGGGGAGTCATTGGGTGATCAGGTGGTCAGGCAGGCATTGGGGGGGTGTGGGGGGGGGGGACAGTCCTTTAGCTCTGGGCTGTTAGCCGCTGCTCTGTGAGCGACGCCTGGTGGGACACCGTCTTGTTCTCGTGGGCCCGCAGCCGGGACACCACGTCGATGAACGCCAGGCTCTGGACCTCTTTGTGGAGAGGCTCTGAAAACAGAGAGGGGGGGGGGGGGGGGGGGGGGGGGGGGGGGAAATGTTAGAAATAATACAAAAAATCTGGTATTTAAGTAATGTCATGGTAAAACAGTTATCTGCTGCTCTGAGCTTATTCTTTTTCAAATTCTCCAATTACTTCTTATATCAAATTTGCCAGTTTTAAGCCACCATCTATAAAACGTTATACTTGCAACAACAGCAGACAGATTTTCCGCCAAATTATTAAAGAATGAATTATGAATGAATGAATTATGAATGAATTATGAATGAATGGATTCATATAGAAGATTAGTGAAATAGGCAGATTCCAATCACTTCCATCAATGAAATACACTTCCTGCAAACATTTCAAAATAAAAGCCTAACTACCCTACAGATGCGGTTTCATTTAGCACTCCATTCCCTTTGGTGCCTTTCTGATTTAGGATAAGCTTCTGTCTGAAAATCAACACTTATTGCAGCTGTTTTAAATTCAATGAAAGCCTCACCCTAAATGGCAAAGTGGGAGGCATTTCAAATCATTTGTGAATGGAAATAATATGTCTGTAAAAAACTCCACCATTTCCAGCAGTATCATCAATCTTTAATTGGCAAAAATAGAATCTTGTAAATAATGTCTTAATATCCAGTAGATTACAACTAAGTAAGAATGATTTGAAAGGTAGAGATGTTCCACAGTGCGCTCTCAGTCCCACCTGATCCCATGGCGGCACAGATGAGGATCATGGAGTTGTATTTGATCTCCGGGGCGCTCCTCTCGTCTGACAGCAGCTTGTGGAGCACCGACACCAGGCTGGAGCCCACAAAGTCCTTCTCAGCTGCGACTGGAACACACACCGAGTCCAGATGTTAGGACCACACCATGGGGACAGTTTCTACAGTGTGTACTGAAGAGACTTACTTTGAGGAGATCTTAAATGTGTTCTGCTTTTGTTCTCAGAAGTCACAGGACTCTTAGTGTTTTCATAAGGAAAAGGCAGATAATAAAGAATCAATAGGAACTGTTTTCCCGAGGCTCTGGAACACTCTGCCCCTCCATGTGAGGTCGGCCCAGACCCTAGGTCTACACTAAAAACACACTTCTTCTCTCTGGCCTTCTAGTCAGAGCGGAGCACGACTCCTGACTTTTCCCTGTGTTTTTTATATATCTGTTGTAATTTATTGTCTTTTATTGTGATTGTAGTAATGTGTTTTTATTACATGTACAGCACTTTGGCTCGACCAAAAATCGCTTTTAAATGTGCTTTATAAATAAAACTTGATTTGATTTGATAAATGGTTTCTCTCACTTGTTTTCTTTAAGGTGGATCACATATCTGGCAACATTATTTTTGTTGTGCGTTCAGCGTATTAAATGATGTATACAAAAATAAACACATAAGAGATTCTACAAATGCTGTATCAGGTGATGGAAATGTCCCTGCCTTCGAGGTAGCAGTGATCAGCATTTTAAGAGTTCATGAAAATGATCACAGGCAGTTACAAAGTCTTTGAATTTAACATTTTTCCTATGAAATAAAAAGCATTGAAATAGTCCAGACGTAGAATGCTAACAGTGCAAAACTAAAACCATAATAAACAAGAGGTGATTACAGATGTGAGATATATTTCTTCTTCTTACCCAAATCCAGCGCTGCTATGAGCCCCAAAGCCACCAGTGCTTCATTCTGCATAATCATATGCTCACTAGTTGCCATGGTGACTAAGTGCTTGACTCCTCCTCCCTGGATGACCGTTTTAACAACTTCCTGCAAAAGAAGAACACAAATCACAATAATGAATCAATGCTTAGATGGACCTACAGAATGAATAACTATTGAGGTATTACAACTATTTTAAAGATTAAATAATATTTGAATTCACATTTTTTGAATTATTTTCTAAACTCAAGACTAGAGGATTTTAAAGTATGGACTCCTTCAGACAAACTGAGACAAATACACCTCCCAAACAATCCAAGATGTGTCTGGGAGAAAGAGGGTGTCAGTGCTACGGGAATACTCAAACTTTCAGAAGATGATTGATAGTGCAAGATAAACATATCTTTTGGGGGGATTTTGTCACTCCTTTTTTTTCTGTATCTTACTTTGAATATGGGGGATTATCATGGTATTAGAGTTCCCTAATGTGGGGGATTTGGGGAATGTAAACAGGAAGTATAATGTTGCAATGAAGTAAGATAGTTAGCAAAAATGTGCCCCCTTTTTTAAAACTATATTTGATTACATGTTATGGAGAAGTAGTGCTGATTTAGCTATTAGTAACTCCTGTTGGGAGTGTATCCATAGAGACAACTTTCACTGGGTTATCTTGATAATGAAGATGAATTATAACATGCATAAAACATGAGGGCTTTCAGGCAAGCCAGAGAGCTAGAAGGGGTAAGGATTAAAGAGGACATGTTCTGCTCATCTTCAGGATCAATTTACGTCATTTAACGTCATTTATGCGACCACTTGGACAGTCTCCATGCTTTAATGTTCAAAAAGCTCTTTATTTTTCTCATACTCTTTTCACCCTCTGTCTGAAACCAGAGCCTAGTCTGCTCTGATTGGTTAGCTGGCCGGTTCTGTTGTAATTGGTCAATCGCTTACAGATGTCCTGCCCCTTAGCCTATCACATACAATGTGTTGGAGCGGTAGCTAAGTGTTACTTAGTGATGTCACTGTGTTCCTGAAGTGAACAAAGGAGTCCGATGGCAGGGGGGGGGCCCTGCCTGAAACTCCATCGAGAGTGTGTGGGAGAGAAACTCCCTCTGGAGGGAACACAGGGATTTTAGCCTCTGCAGACCATTTACATGCACAGAAAGCTATAGAACACAGTACAGGAGAGGCAGAACCCAAAAAGCAGATTATGGCCTCTTTAATGATATTTGACTCGTAATGAAAACTCACTATGAATCCAAAAATATGTGTCTCACAAATGTTAAAGCTAATTGTGGCAGGTGTAAAGGATTTTAAAGCAGCTGCAACTTCCTGTTCTCTTAAGAGCACCTTCCACCTCAGGTCCTTCTCTCCACCCCCCCCCAGGGAGAGTGTGAGCCTCTCCTCTAACTCAGCGACACGCAGCACTTGCATAATGAACGGTTCTTCAGACGTCAGGACTGTGTCTGACCTTGGACTTGCTGTGCCTGATGAGGGCCGACAGCAGCCTGTTGGACTCCCCCATCACCCCCGCGTGGTCTTTGGCTTCACACCACTCCACCAGCCGCTCCACCAGCTTCCCATTGGTTCCCAGCTGGTCTGCGGCTTCAGCTGGAACAGCACAAACACCACAAAGACCAGGAAATAATTATTATCACCATTTGCATAAATATACCCATCCATTTTTCATTCGGTTAAGCGGCATTTTTTATTTCACTCCAATTATAAAGATGTTCTTTATATGAAACCATCTGTCCACTGTCAGACTTGAGCAGCAGTTACTTTATCTGTGTGTCTTCATGACGGAGAAATGAGACGGCTAAGAATCTCTCATTATCCCACCAAAGCTTAAATAACGCTGAGGGAAAGAGACTAAGGATTTACTTGGAATATTTATCACATTTGCTTTCACACAGACTTCAAACGTAATCAGCTGCTTTATGTAACATGACTACTGACCATGTTTTCAAAAGATATAGAATTCAGACTTTAAGACTTCCGTGGACATATTCACCGTGAAGAATTCAATGGATTTGGTTCCAAGATAAAGACCTGATAAAAGCTCTACCTTGTGTGTCGATGAGCATGCGTAGCGTCCCCAGGAGTTTGAACTGGACTGGAGGCATCTCTGATAGCAGAAACCTCAACACCACGTCTGCAACTCCAGCTGACAGCATCTTGGATTTGTTCACCACTGGAGAGAGGAAACAAGTCACATTAAACACAGAGGCAACAGAGCAAACACTTTCCTTATAATGTCCATGTTTAAGAACTCTACTGGCATTATGCAAGCTTAACTAAAGTGTTATGATGTATTCTTTGATTTTTAGAGCATGGCCAAACGTTGTTATGTAGCCTTTCGGAGCCTACTGCCAACATGCTGCTCCGATATTAAAAGCGTTGCAGAATAGGATAGAGCAACTTAGTCTACACAGTGATGTACACACTTAGGATATTTATGCACATGAGTTCTCCTTAAATGTGTACAAAGAGTATTATAATAGGCTGATAGTTATACCAAACTAGGCTTTTTATTATGATTTACTATAAGAAACCAATCAATTTGATGTAAAACAAACATTCAGCACCCCCATACAGCCCAAATGGAATGATCCTTTCTTTTTCATAACCATATTTTACCATCACTACGACAACTAGAATAAAGTGGATCCTTCCTTCCTTCCGCGTGCGTGCGTGCGTGCGTGCGTGTATCTCACCAGGTATGGCCAGGTTCCGCAGGGCGCTCAGAGCTGCGTGCTGCACGGTGACGTTGCCTTCATCAACGTGCCGGTCCAACAGCTCCAGAAGCTTCTGCACGATCCCGGTGTCCACCATGTGGATACAGTTCCCGTCTGAATACAACAAAAGCACATATACCGATGGTGTGTCGCATAATGGCAAAATGTAGTCATACAAGACGATGTCAGTATAATATTTTGCCCGGCCCCGATTCAACACTGTCTATGATAACATCTGCATCAATGCTGTTATATTGCTGCTGTATGCCACTTTCCTAACAGACATGCTCAACACTTTACTCTGGGACTTCTTGCCACAAAATTAAACTTACCGTTGCGAGCGAAGTTAGCGATGGCCAGAGCCCCCGCTAGCTGCAGCTGGTGGTTATGGGATGGGATCCAGGACAGAACCCTCTGGAAGACGCTGCCCTTCCCCCCCTCAAACAGCTTCTGCATGGACTCATCTACACAGCGGGAGGGGGAGGGGTTACTGTACAGGGCTGGTCAACTACACTGACAGCAGATCATTAGGACAGGAGCAAAATGTCCCTGATTACTTTGGGATAAAGGAAGTCATTTCCACTGGGAAGGGGGGGAATATCCCCTTCAGTTTTCAGGATCCTACACAGTCTTGGCCCTACTTTTACACAGCGATGTTAGTCGTGGACTTAAGGAAAAACTGAGGCACTTTATTTGAGTATTTTCACATGATGCTACTTTATAATTTTACTCCACTACATTTAAAAAAATATATTTACATTACATGACATGTCACTTGTTAGACGCTTTTATCCAAAGTGACTTACATACTCTATACCGTGGGCAATCCCCACAGGAGCAATTTGGGGTGAAGTGTCTCAGGGACACAACGACATGCTGACTGCAGTGGGGTTTGAACCTGTGACCCCCTGATCCGAACACCAACGCACAACCCACTGCACCACACGCCTTTAGTTACTAGTTACTTTGCAGGTAGGTGATTAATAAAATCGCCACGAATTATAATATATTATCATAGGTTAAGCTATCCAGTAGTGTAAAAAGTCATTCAAATCATCCCCACCTTTAGCAAGTGCAACGTTGAAGTGATGAACACATAAATGCAAAAAATAATTAACAATATAATTTTTTTAAATATCTGGCACTTCAAATGTCTATTTTGCACGCCAAGTATTTTTGAATGCTAATACTTTTTTACTTTACTACAATTTTAAATGCAAGACTTTTACTTGTAACTGAACATTCTTACACTGTAGTATTGCTACTTTTACTTTGACTAAATCTGAGTACTTCTTCCACCTCACGGTAACGGTATGCATCACAGTACAGTTATTGTTATATCAATCAAATTAATAAACAGTTTAAAACATCCATATTGTACTTTTTCTTCTTTAATTTGCATCACACAAGATAAAAGAAACAGTATAACTACAATTATTTTAAATGGAGGCTTTAAGGTTTCTGCAACATCACAGCTACATTTCTACCATTACACGCTTTCTACTTTCATTTGACCCAGTTTGGGGGTGATTGTGTTACTCCTAAATGTGTGTGGACATTGTCCCCTGGCTGTCCTGCACCATAATCCCCATAAGAAGAGAGCAGTCGATACAAATGTTGATACACTCATTGGATTTGCTAATTGAGTCAGCTGAGTCAATAATCAGTGTGCTCAGAGTTACAAGCTCCTGAGCAGCAGAGAGGGGGTGTTTCTCAATGTCGAGTAAAGCTGCTCCAGAGCCACTATTTCAAGCATACTACGTCATCAAGTGCCGCCGAAGGACTGTTCCAATGTCCAGCATACTTAGAATTCTACCGAGCCCAGCGTACTTCATACGAGAAATTTCGAGGCTGCACATGTGTAGACTCCGCGGTCTTAAAATCCCCACAATGCTTTGCGCACGGACCAATTTCCCCAAATCTGTGACGGAAAATGTAAGGCGGGGCCTCTCATATGACGCACACCTGCACAGTTGCTAGCCTGTTCCACTCTTTGTTTTCCGAATGCCAGGAAGTATTCTTGCCTCGCTTCTGAAGCAAGACGCTCGGAAGACATGTGCTACCAAGCAAGCACACTCGACATTGAGAAACACCCAGGGTTTGAGGACCTTTTGTTGCCCTGTGTTTTGCCTTTCAGGCTGCCTTATCTGTTCCTGGATCTTATGGGAGTGTTTTCAGCTTGAGAGGAAAACAGCAGGCAATTCTCTAATCTGACATACTGATCTTCCCAATGGACATTAGTATCCTATAATCTGATCTTGGCTTTAGTTGACGGTCAAAAACATGTAACTGCACAGAAATAAAAAGGACAGAAAGAATGTTGTTCACTATCTTACAGTCCATTTATTAAGCACTAGTGGAACATGTGGACGAATTATTGCTTAAATCACTCATTCAATGCATTAACTGTAGTATAGCACATACAAGAATGCAGACCATGAACACCATCATGTGGAATGATGGAAATAATAAGAGTCCAGTATCTATATTTATAACACTAAGGCTATTCCACGGCAATAAAATATTCACATAAAGGTTGAATTATTGATACTCTCGGTCGGTGCAGGACAGAATACTGTGTGCATTTATCTGTATGGCCACGTATTTGGTTACATTTTGCATTCCATTAATAGAGTTGCTTAATATGGAGGGATAATGATGACCTTGTAGATTTGGCTGTGCTGCAACACTAATATAAACGTTGGAAGTAAGTGTGAATTTTAAATGTGTTACACAAGGTTCTTTTTATGTTCAGATATGGAGATAATATGAATATGACTGTTTGCTTTCAGTATGCTATGGAACTGCTTATATGATTTACATTTAACGTGAACTATTTCATGACAGAAGAAGCAAGCAGGTTTGAGGTATATTTGTGATATTAAAATCATTTACTAGGAATTAAAGAGGGCCTATTCTTCTTTTTGGGGTTTCCCCCTATGAATCTGTGAGTGAATTGTTTTCTAACGCGACCCTTTTATTTATATTAGGTCTTAAAGTTTTTGCATAAATTAGGGCGTGGTCACTTTGATGGACAGGTACGTGCCTCACTGTCAGCTAACAGCAACTTGTCCTGTCAGCTAACAGCAACTTGTCCACTCTGCTAGGCTACAACGTTAGTTAGTTGTAGTTACTGTACTTGACCCTTTAGCCGTGTTCGTGGTGATTGTGCCTTTTAGGGAATATTGTTACAAATACCAGACAATTAAAATGTCGTGCTGTGCGCTTGAATGTAGTAACAGAACTTCCAAGAAGTCTAAAATTATAATATTATACATGTTAACCCCGTTAGCAGGTGTTTGTGTGCTTGTTAGCTTAGCTTGTTATGTAGCTTATTAGCCAGCTAAGGACGTAACCCTTTATACATGTATACATATATATATATATACAGTTTCGTTTATGATTCAGCCTTGGGTAAGACTTTTATAGTATATGGCTATGACGCCCATAATGCTAAACGGGAGCAAATGTTAAAAGGGGACCCAATTATCCCAGTGGTGGCCGCCGGAGCTAACGGAGCCGCAGGGGGCTAGCTCCAGCCAGCGTCCAGCTCCAGCCGGCGTCCCGGAGCCCCCTGCGGCTCCGTTAGCTCCGGGCGGTGGAGTCCGGCGTTATAACTGGAGATCAAGGAATGCAGCGAAACGCGGACTTGGTTCGCCTGCAGCCCGCTGTAGTATTAGCTAAATAAATTATGTTGAACAAGGCTTATTAAGCTGAACATCGCCACAATTGTTCTGCTATGTATCGGTACTTCTTTTATTTTATTAACGTGATGACAAGCATTAAGAATAACAAAAAATAGCTAATTCTCTTGCAGAGTGTCTCGTTTGATTATGAATGTAACGTTTATATAGGGGAACTACACTGTTTTATCAAAACCAAAGTGCCACGCAGTAACTTGGCATGTATGTATTTCATGTTAGCTTAGCTTCTTAGCCTGAGCTAGCTCTGTTTACTTCCAGTTCGGAGGCAGCAGGTCCCGCCTCGGCTCCGCCTCTTTGCCCTTATTTGGATCAGGCTGGAGCAGGCGGGAGTTAGACTCTGACGTCGCTGTCGAGCCGTTAGTGGCCGACTCAGCCTACTAAGGGCTTCTCGGCAAGTCTGCAGAATCCTATGGGTGACGTCACGGACACTCCGTCCATTTATATATAAAGTCTATGATGGAGACATGTCACAGTAGAGACACTACATACTAATATGAATCTGAAAATGTGCATAATATATCCTCTTTAAAATGGACCCTATGTGTTGGAAACGCCAATCAATGTTTACCTCCCAGCAGCAGGAGAACCATGAGGTCTGAGGAAGTCTTGAGCTGAGCAACGTCCTCCTCTCTCTCTCCGTCTACAGTCTGAGCCACCACCTCCAGGAGACACTCCACCAGGCCGGCCTCCACCAGCTGCAGCTTTATCACATCTGGCAGGGAAGGATGACACAGTTAAGACTGAAACGCACTGCTGCTGCACTGCAGTAATGCACCATATGATGTGCAGCAGATGTGCATCATGTGATGCAGAAAGCACACGAGACTCATCAGTGCTCACCATAAAGACCTGAAGTATAATACAGAAATGATGTCTAGTAAGTTAAGCTGTATTTACACAGATTTTAGCAAAATCATAAAAGCATATGAAAATGTGAATCAATACCTGTTCCATCTACTAGCATTATGATAATATCAGATCGTTTAGGGCATTGAGATAAACAGTTGGTGGAGCTCATTCTTTCATCATGTGCCATTGATCCTTGTGGGAAATATTTTATAACCTTCTTGGGACGATATATAAAACAATCAGCTTAATTAGGGTCTGAGACCTAGGTCGGCGAAGACCCTATTGAAATCTTTGACCCCCGCAACATATGTGAAAACTCACCAAATTTTGCACGCGCGTCAAGTTCAGATGTGTAATTGGTTCCGGAACTTTGCGTCAAAAATTGCGTAGGCCACGCCCACTTCCGTTTTAACGTAAACTCCCCCCCCCCCCCCACTTTAACTTTCACGTAAACGAACGAAACTCGCTACGCATATCTAGGGTGCGGAGACAAACCAAAAATGGACACGGTCCCATCGTCCCCAAATCTTCACTTTTATATCACCGGTCCATGCCTCAACAGCTCTACGTGAAATCTGAGATCTCACCGTATGCCGTTTCCATGGCAACGTATCCCTCGCCATAAAACACAATGTTGTCTTAAATCAATGGACAATGGTCCAAACGGCAGGAGACTGCAGATGACAGTTAATGGTCCGGCCCTCAACACCTCAATATGACAATAGTGAGTTTTCCTCAAAAGCTGTTGCCATGGCAACGCATCCCTCGCCGTTAAGCACCATATTGGTTTAACTCCTGTGTAAATGGTAAAAAAGTTTCACATGTGTGCTAACCGTCAAGCCCTCGAGACATATATGTGTCAGTTTTTAGATTCGTCAAATGTCGTTGCTATGGTAACAAAATGGTCGCCGTGAAACACGGTTTTCTCATAACTCCAGTTAACATGCTCCAAACGGCCCAAAACTTCACAGGTTTGATAACGATGCAGCCCTCAACACATCTAGGCGTATTATGGGGTGTCATCAAATTCCGTTGCCATGGCGACAGATCACTCGCCATCAAACACAATGTTTATGATACTGCTGTAACTCCTAAATACATTGTCCGATCGGCCTGAAACTTCCCACGTTTGCCAACGGCCGAGTCCTTGAGACACCTAGACACACACGTCGACGTGCGGACAACAGCCTGCGGAGCGTCGAAGACCCGCTCAACGCTGCTTGCAGCTTTAATTATAATTAATATTAATATTACAATTAAAAAAAGGGAATAGAGGTATGTTATTTCAAGTCTTTTTATACAGTTAGAGTTTTAAGTATGAGTAAAGAGCTGAAATAATTGAGTCTATTGACTCACTGAAAAATGTATCTGGAACATTCTTTGTCAACAGTCACTGCTTAATAAACTGTTTTCAGGACAACATCATATGCCAGAAGATATACATAGACTAAGACTTGTAATGCAATATCTTTAAAAAACGACTTATTGAAAAATAATCTGAAGATGTAATGATTGCAAATTAACAGTTCTAAAATAGTATTAAAAAAAAAAACATCAATAGGCGCTTTCACACCAAGTACTTTGCCGTACTTAGTACCCAGTACTTAGTTCATCAGAACTCTTTAGTTCTGATGAACTAAGTACAGATCACGTTCACACCGGAATAAGTCCCTGAGGGAGGATTAGGCAAATGAAGCCACTGACGTCGCTTCTTCTTCTTCTGCTTTACTGGCAGGCCACAAACAACTTCACGGCGTATACTGCCACCCGAAGTCCCCGGCCGGAAGTCCCCGGCCGGAAGTCCCCGGAGTTCTTCCGAGTAAATCGCCAGAACGCCGACACCTCCTCATCACTGCACCCATTTTTTTTTTTGTGTTGCCATAAGTTAGTATCTCTCCGTTGGTGCGCTGGGCTAATGCTAATAATGCTAATGCCAGCAAATACAATGGCGGCTTCACAAAACGTTTCAGACTTTTACGGGCCGTGGTTTGCAATCCGCCAATCAGAAATGGGAACCTTTTTCTCCCAGGAAAGTACCTGCTCTCTAGCAGGGACTAAAAAGGGGGTGAAAAGGTTCTCATGAACTAAGTTCTAGTTCCGGATTTTTTTGGTGTGAACGCAAAATTTCAAGAACTATCGGAACTATACTGGGAAAAGTACTCCGGTGTGAAAGCGCCTATAGTCTGCATTTTTACAGTTTGCAGGAAATTATTTTTGAAATGTTCCTTCTATGTTAGGACAATTAGTGAAAACCTAAACAATTGAGCACTAAAAAGTCAAGACAACAATCTAGAAATTGTCACTGTTAGATTTCTTTATCTGACAGGATGCAGAGCGACGGAATGAAACAGATGGAGAGAGAGCTTTCTCTAGAGTGGAGTTAAGTAGGACGTTGTCCTGGAGACTGACAGTGTGGGAGCACCCAGTGTGCCTGGAATGACACACACACACACACACACACACACACACACACACACACACACACACACACACACACACACACACACACACACACACACACACACACACACACACACACACACACACACACACACACACACACACACACACACACACACACACACACACACACACACACACACACCACACACACACACACACACCACACACACACACACACACACACCACACACACACACACACACACACCACACACACACACACACACACACACACACACACACACACACACACACACACACACACACACACACACACACACACACACACACAGCAGCTGAGCCAATGCAGGAGCTGTCTGCCATGACTGTGCAGATAGCAGCTATCCCGGAAAGCATGACTCACACTGAGGGGATAATTTACTGAGGAGTAGGCGGACATGATTTTAATCTAAACGCTAGAGAGAACACCGCAGTCTCTCTATTTTATGTCTTAATCTCTTCCCTTCACCGTACAGTGGATACGGCATTCGGTAGAACTTAATAATGAAAAAGAGATCAAAGAAAAATCCCATTACCGTTTTCTGCAAGTGGAGCCAGAACTTCAAAAATCATTTCCTTCTTCTCGTGTTCTGTCTGCTTCTGGAACAGACGCACCAGCTCCTCAGCGATATTGGTGGAGGCAAACTGTTCTTTGCTGGACTCTGAAAACACCAGAGCAGAGTCAGAGGAGGAGAAATCCTTTACGTTCTATGTTTTAGTGCATGTAAATGGTCTGCAAAGGCAAAAATCCCTGTGTTCCCTCCAGAGGGAGTTTCTCTCCTACAAACTCCCCCCCCCCCCTCTGCCTGAAACGCTTCCATGGGACTCCTTTGTTTACTTCTGTAAGATAGTGACATCACTACGTAACACTAACGCTTCTATTGGCTAGCACTCCAACACAATGTACGTGAGGCTAAGGGGCTCTTTATAAATGTGTGGATTCTGGCAGTCGTTATATTTAAAGACGTTAATTATACTGGATTAAGCTAAACAGATATTCAGGTATACTCACCAAGCTCAGCCAAATTCCCAAAGGCAATTAGACACATTTCTGTCAGGGCTACGTTGTGGGAGTGGATGCCTAGCAGCTTCACCAGAGTGGGAATCACACCCATATTGATCAGCTGAGCTTGTAAGGAATCTGCAAAAAACAAAGATAGAGAAGACAGGCAGTCGATCCATTGTTCTAATCGTAATGTTAGATTGCTGAAATGTGATCACCATAATGCTATCTAATTCAATAAATGCTATGAAAAAGAGAAAAAAAATCTCTCCCCATTCAATGAGCTTGCTAAAAGTCCTTCAGCCTTTACTTAGTTTGTGGCTTATGGTGGCCTACATTAGCAAAAATAAAATGTTGTTGCGTAAATGATGCCACTGATTTTGCGGGTCAATCAGGACTTTATTCCCCCTTAAAACGTTGAATCTAATTTTCTAATTGAATGCATGTGCCTACATAAAATCTGCATGAAATAGTCATTCGGCCACACCCTCTACACATCATGGGGAGTGGAGAAGAAGTGGTAGAGCTCAGGAGAAATGTGAAAAAAGGAAAGATAAGTATTGAAATGTATTTCTTAATTAGAAACCAGGGTGAACAAATCAATGGCGGAGAAAGACACAAGTGGGAGGATGACCATAAAAAAACAAGAAGGAACAAGTTGAGTTAAAGTCTCAAGAACAATTCTCAAAAGATCTCATCAGGCCCTTACTTAATTCATGTCAATCAAAACGTATAGTAGCAGCCTAACCCTTCAGCCATGGATCAAGTGGAAGAACAGTATATTTGGAGGCAGGTGGTGAGAAGTCAAAGAAAGTCAATGTTTTTTTGTTGATATTCTCTTCTCCTAACTAGCCATTGCAGTACTGAAATTAAGCCAAAACTGTTGCCATTACAGAGTAACCAACACGCACAGACAACTTTATCTATAAACTTTTTTTTTTTTTTTTTTTTTAAATCCCACTTAGAACACAATTGCAATCCTTAAAAAATTATATATTTCAATACTAGCACTCCTTCTGTTAATCTATGCATTGCCCTCATTGAAGAACAGTTAAAAGATTCCTGCTTGTAGCATGGTTGTCACAAGAATATTTTAAATATGCAGTATGTGCATATAGCGGATGCTGATGATTCAGTTTGATTTAGTAAGTGCGAAGTTGTTGTTTCAACATTAGGAAAGTTGTGAGGAGTCAGCTAGATGCTGGAAGCTGCTGGAAGCTGCTGGAAGATGCTGGAAGCTGCAGAAAGCCACAAAACCTCATTCATTCTGTTAGAGCAACCCAACACCAAAGCATCACCCGGCCAAATAGAACCAACCATTGTCCAGTGCCAACAGAAACTTGGCAGGAGATGTGAGTCCGTCAGATCAAATACTTGCTCCTGTATACAAGCCTTGTTGTCACAAAGACAGAAAACTGTAGCATAGTCCAGAAAGAAGATGTATGGATGGAAACAGTACATCCTGTACATTATTAAGTATGTATATAGAAAGAATCTGGATAGATTATGGAGATAGAAAACATATGGAAGAGAAAGCATACTGAAAGTACACTGTAGGATAAACTGCAACCTTTTTGAGCATGGGAACATAAAAGCTTGATCAAATGACTTCACCCTATGTTTTTCTTAAAAAATGTTGGTTATTTTGTTGAAAATCTGTACAATGCTAAAAAGATAAGGCCTGCTTAAGACTAGATTGATTCATTTATTTACATTTTACACAAGTTACCCAACAGGTTCCTATGTATAGACTCCCTACCTGACAGGATAGATCAACTTCTTGTTAAATAAGCCTATTCAGTTATTTATTTATTTCAGACATTACATCCTGTTTGTGTGTGCAGTACAGACCAGGAGTCAAGATGTATTTTTACAAAATAACATGCTGATATATGTGTAGCAGATTACCATTGTCACCACCTTAGTTTAGTGTGTTAGCATCCTTATATTTGCTACATAGCACCAAAGTATAACTGATGAGAAGGTCATTAGTTTTGTAGGTGTTGGTTCATAAACAAGTATTGGAAAAACTGCATTTTTGACCTGATGATGGCTCTACATCAGAGTTAGACAAAAAGGAGTACAGTTCATCCTGAACGAGACATGAAGGTGTGAACTGAATTTCATGTCAATCCATCCAAAAGGGATAGCTTTATATAGATACATTTCCTTTGAAACCACTAATCTTTACCTTAATAACAGAGCTATAGGAAAAGTCCTCAGAATAAATTATTTGTGAACCGTGAATATCTGTACACATTTGTTTTGCCAATCATCTTGTAGTCTGCTGCTGGACCAAATGACAGTGTGGTTAAAACATATACTTTTTGGGGCTTTGGATGTCTATACGACATTTCATGGCAATCAACCCAATAATTGTTGACATATTTTCATCTGGATCACACTGAGGGACTAGAATTGTTTCTAGAGCCATGCTGCTAGTAGGGTTTAAAAGCAGGGACAGGAACCTGCTAATGAATATGTTCTACCTGCAGGGTCTACAACGTACTGCTTCTATGAAAGCTGACTCTCAGCTAATATGAATAACTGCAGATTACCTCAGATGTGATGTTGGAAAAGCAACAGACAGCATGGTAGAAAGATCAGGAGAGAGGTCAGTCCAAAAGAGAAAAGCATGTCATGTTCACCCTACTGTCTTGTGACAAAAACAGATGTACCATCGTCTGTGTATAAGAAAGAGAACATCCGCTGATTAGTTAGATTAGTTAACAGTTGTTCTTGGGGGAAGATGGTCATTACCATTATCATTGCTATAGTTCATCAGCATGCCACAAAAGACAGTCAAGAGCTTCTCATTTTCCGGCTCAGTATTTTGGTAGAGGGTTTTAATGTGTTCAGCTACTATCTGAGCCCCTCCTGCCAGGTCAACTGCACTCCTGCCCTCATCTGCAAAACAAAGAGGCCAGGACACAAATCAACCACAAAGGATAAAAGAAGTAAATCAAAAGAAACCACAACCTGAAAAACACATATAAAAGCAATGTTAAGTAAGCAGTACAAACATATAAATCCATGCAAACTAAGGCTATAAAGCAGTCAATATGTTGAATTAAATAAGTGTGAAAGAAATAATTATGACCACAACTACATATCATAATGCAAATCCCAGGTTTGGATTCAAAGATACCTGTAGCCCAAATGATCAAATCATTAGGATTACATTTTTGTTATGCCACAATTGGCATTGGTGGTCATATTTCTTCCCTTTTATTAAATCATGTCTGTGTTGCAACTGAATACAAATATCCTTTCATAGTTTACTAGATATTTTGTTGCAACCAAGAACAAAAAAAATCCACAAACACAAAATCAAAGAACTGCTTTAAATAAAATTAAATAAAATAACAAGCAAGCAAAAACAGGCCATTGACAGTGGAGAGGTTTCGCACAATCAAGCTTTTGTGTGCTGTGTCCATTTCCAGGACGCTCTCCTTTGAAGGCCAGTACACTTTACCTTTGATATCCATTACAAATGCCTTTTGTTTCTCTTTCATTTCTTTCTTCAGGAACAAAGCAAATGCACAGTAAAGACGATTGTCTCTCTGCGAGGGCTTTGTTTGGTAGAATAGCTGTCCAAGGAAGAGTGTCACTTGTCAACCGTCTCAGTTTCACGGCTACTTTCCTTTGTAGCAGCACAATCAGCAATATTGATTAGTGCGTATTCTTTTCTGTTTCTGTTCCATTCACATGGAGCTGCTGTTGATGCTGACTTGTGGTCCATGTAAGGGCAGTTTAAGGATTGAATTGTGAAATACAAAACAAATGCTTAAGTGAATTGGAGAAGTTAAGAATCAACCCTTCAGCAGCATTGGTTAGGCTAAGATTCACAGGATTCAAATTTAGCACAACATATCTACGCACATCTTCTTTTCCCAGATTCAGTCTTGCTGTCTTTATCAACCTGTGAACTCTAGGGTGAAACTATTAGAAGGCAAAGCATTTCGGAAGAAGGTCACACCTTCAAGTCTGAGGAAATGGTACTCTGATAACTCCCAAATTGATGCTCCAATTAAAGTATTTCAAGTATCTGGGGGTCATGTCCATAGGTGAAGGTAGGATGAAACATGAGAAGGACAGGATGATCTGTGCTGGTTCTGGACCAGCTGGGTAACAGTGATGCAAGGCTGGGGAAAAGAACTAGATTGGCTTCACCAATGGTCGTTGGGTTGCGTACTGCGATTTGAAGGGAAGATGCCGGACAGTACTCCCATCCCTCTTAATATGTGAGAAAGTGTATGTTGTACACTGTACGAAACACATGTACATTCTTTACATCCAAACAGCAAAGGAATGAAAAAGATATCCTGGAGGGAGAATGGAGAGGTCTGATGGAAGTCTCAGACGTCTAAAGAAGCTCGGAGAAGAACCGGTGGTCCTTTAAATTGAAAGGGTTGAGTCGCATACTGTCCACATCTGCAGAGCAATGCGCTCTCACAGATGTGCATGTGGTTTAGCATGTGCATTAACCCATCCAAACGTCATGTGACACTGTTTGCCTGGAGTGGCCTTGATAGGGTTCAGGCATTTAAATAAACTCTGACCTTCAGTATCTTTACACTAATGATAAACATGACATTATAGATCCAGAATTCCACAAGGATTATTTTTCTTTTGATATTTGTTGGTTTCATCAAATGTTAATGTGTGTATATGCATATAATGTAGGGTCTATAAATACTTTTTATACGTACTGTGAGACCCTAAGGGGTAACAACTCTTCCTACTCCGCAGTGACCGTGTGTCACGAGTGCATTTTAAAGACAGATGCAGTACATTTGAACCTATTTTCATCACGTTATTCCATAAGATTGTGTTTTATATATTTAACATACGCAAATGTGGCAAAGTCTCCCACATGATGGTGTGTGTTTCTTAGGGAGCAAGCAGCTGCTTTGCCACACTCTCCCAGTGTGTCTATCATAAAACCCTGCCAGATTACTGAGACCCCCCTCCACTCAAACAAATGTCACATCCCACCAGATTCCAAAGATCCCCAGCTTTTCAACAGGAGGAGTAACTATGCTCCACATCTGACAGCTGTGAATAAAGCCTCTAAAGCTGACACCTTTACCACCACTGCTCCTGCCTGAGGTCAACACTCAAAGACTCCGCTGATACATTCCCTAATGAATTTTCTTAGAGCAGTATCTCAAAAGGTGCCACATGTAGCATTTTCATGTTATTGTTGTTGTTACTATTAACTGAGAAACCTCAGTTTATAGTTTACTTATCACCAAACAAATATGGTAAAGGTTCTGTTTTAACACCTGGTTCTCAAAATCAAGACTACATTTTTGTATAGACCCTTCCTTTAGTCCAGTGCTTCTCAAAGTTTTTCGCACTCTCGCGGGAATATCTCCGCAATGGAGCGAGCTTAAGTTTGACTTCCAATTGCATTATATAGCCCAGCGCAACACCTTCGTCACACATGTTGCCACTTGTTTGTACCATTTCCAGGCGCTTTGTAATCTGTTCTAGAAAAACGATGTGTTTTTTTTTAGATTTCAAGAAGTGTATAAAACAAACAATGGATGTCTTTTATGAACATTTATCCATGCTGGAAGTAGATTTAGATGTGTTAGGAGTTAGATAGAGATTATTATCTAACATGTGAAAAAATGGCTTAGACCTCAGAGAGTTAGACTTGGGCCTGTGACCATAGTTTTACTGTATTTTGTTTTGAAAATCCACAGCGGAGGTTTGTGTCGTACTACATGCGGTGTATTTTGCATACCTCTCAGTAGCCAACGATCTGTGAGTCTGTTGGCTCGGACATAAACTCCGTAATAAATGTAGTCTACATTTCATAAGAGGTGTAAAACCTGTGAGCATTTTAAATCGCATTTGAAAGAAATGCTTATATAATCTGTAGTTGTATTTGTATTGTTGATTTAATGTGTGAACGAGGCGATACAGAGAAGGTTAAACTGTCATTATTAGGCTGTAATTTGTTATGTACTGTTGGAGTGGTAAGCAGGCCTATTGTTTTGGGATATTTGGGGAGTTAGGTGGTCCGTGAGTGTTTTTTCATTGGTTAAGTGTCCTTGGTATGAAAAAGTTTGAGAAACACTGCTTTAGTCCAATTGCAAACAAACAATAACCAAATGTATGTTCACTGCATATAAGTGGAAGCCTTTTGGTTGCAAATGAGTTACTTGAAGAATGGGGGCTCATTATTGCACTGTTATATCTGTTATGTGCCCGTCTGTGGTATTAGCTGTTACAGGAGTATCAAGGTCAAATTTAAGAAAAAAGTAAAGACACTAAAAGGCAAAATTCACATTGAATTAAGGGGAATTGTAGGGCAAAGGACGAGGGACTGTTGTTTGAAAGCAGCTAATCCAAATCCAGATAAAAGTCATGTGTCTGGACGATTCAAACCGAGTTGGAACAGATCTGGCTATTATTTCCACCTTCTCCCTGGGGAATCACCTTTAAAACAGTATTTTCCCAGATGGTAAAGCTAATGTTAGCTTATCGCTTTAGCAGTATATATGTTGATTTACAAGTAAAAAATAAATTGCAGTCAAAAAAGCCAAACTAGGTTTCAACTGGTTAAAAAAAGAACCATCGATCCCGATCCTGCTCAGTGTTTCCTGGTCCACAATGTTGTTGTGTTTTTAAATCCAAGGGATCCAAGTCTTATCTAAAGGGCTTTTTTTGCTGATAAATTAATATCGACTGATATATCACAACAGATTATTTTTAGGTTCCAATTGATCACAAATCCAAAATTGCCCAGGGCAATACTATATATCGGCCAATATATAGAAGAAACTACATTTACCATACTTACAAACATACATAGTATATCAAGCAATGTATTGCATGGAGAGAATTCACTCGCTCAAATAATTACTTCAGTAAACACTGTGTGTTATTTAAAAATATCATTAAAAATGCATCTTCTGAAAAGAGCATAAAGATTAAAAAAATGCATATGATGTCTGTATGAGTTGCATGTTATTGCTGTTTAATTGTACTGTACCCTGTATATTTTCATATGGACACCAGTAATACGGTAGCTATGTTTCCAAATAAACAAACTATTTTCCATAATATCAATATAATTCAAATATCTTCCGAACAGACGGCAAGGCAGCACCTCTCTGCCCTGTATGCAAATGCAGTAAAGGGGGTCTGGTTAATAAGAACTCATCAACATGTCCCTGCATGCAATGCTATATCCCTGAAACACATGGTTAAACATGAACTCTTTGTGTAATGCAGAATCATCTTTACATGTGATTGTCTGTTAGCCGTGTGAGGGTGATGAGGGTCTGTGGGTGATGAGGGTCTGTGAGGGATTCAGTGTTCCTGGAGAAAGCAGACTCCTACTTACGGCTGTCATAGCAGATGTTCCCCAGAGCGCGGCCGGTCTGCAGTAACACCTCCTGGTCTGAGGAGGTCAGCAGCTGAATCAGAGGAGGGATGAGGCCGGCCTCCACACAGGGACCCCGCATGAATTCTGGGGGGGGGAGAGGGGTCACAGGTCAGAACGTTAAACTTGCTCAAGGGAGTAAATAGTGTCAAAATTACTTTCTAATTCTTTATAATCCTCAAACTTACCTTTTTATACTTGGAATGTGTAATAATAACTTGATTTTAAATGTGTAATATGTGTGCATGCCACTTACTAAATACTGTTTTTATTTTTGTCTCGATCATATCTCTTTTCTGTAACAATGTACATCTCCCCTCTGTGGGGAATTCTGATTCAGATTACTCCCATGTTTCCTGCAACTTTGATGATAGCGTGTGTAGTTCATATAGTGATCACATGATTACAAAGAATAGAGTGATGCAGGTTTTTTTTTTAGGCCAACCAGGAAATTCTCATCACCCTGGTTCCCTTGATAAGAAGACAATGGGATTTTCTCTTGGATTTTGGATTACTGCAGAGGATAAACTCTGTGGCAAAAAAACTGGTTTATAACACATTTTGTTCAGCATGATCATTTTCACACTTGAACACCACCTTTTTTTTTTCTCGCATAAATGGAATTGCTCAAATCAAAAAGCTAACATTGTGCTATCAACAAACGCTTCCCTATGATCTGAAGAAGACTCAGAAATCAAACACTTCAAATCATTAACAAGTTAGTTCATCATTGTTAAAAATGGAACTGTTGAAAGGTGGTGATTTAATATCACATCTCATTTATATGTGAAGTTGAAGTTTAAGCCATGTAACTTAAGTCTACACTTCAAAACTGGCTATCTGAGATTTACTGAATCCTTGATATTAGACTTTCAAATTGTATTGACTAAGTTAAATCACAAATAGAATAGCTTCTATTATTAAGTGCCTTGTTAGCATGAATGATAGGATGCAAAATAACAGCAATTCAGGTGGATTCACTCCCCACATACTGCTGGTTATTAGGACCGTTACCAATCAAATATTTATCACCTAACCCGAGCATCCGTACAGTTACCTCAGATAATCTGTGATGGAGGAATGAGGTGGCAAATCACTTGATTCACTGACAATAACACAGTCTACTATTCCCGATTAAGCCCAGTCACCATTTTGTCAGCAGTCACCATGCTGTTCTTGGATGCTCATTTGGGAAATCATGCTGAATCATCTGGGTTTAACTGGGGATGAGACATTATTCATCTCTGGTGGTAGTGCTGATTTGAGCTAATTAGTCAGATAGGTTTTTACATGAAGCCTCGCCTGGTTCAGCTTTAAACAATCGTGTTAGTTCAAACTGTTAGACGAAAAGGGACTCAGCCCAGCAGTCCTTGGCTGCTCGCAGACGTTTCCGGAACCAGTGACACATAAATGCCAGCGGGCTGTTGCCAAGCTTGGCAAACTGCAGGGGAGTGATCATTAGCTGCCGTTTGCAAGCTGCTAAAAAAACCATTCATTATCTCAACCTTTTATCGCCTAAAGTTCTATTTGAGTCTGCTTTTTTCCACTTTAAAAGCTTCTGCTGAGCTTACGCAGAGGGACTTTTGAAAAGATTTAGCTCTCCCATACTGCGGTTATTCAAGGTTTTAGTCTTTACACGATAACTTCACAGTGAGTAACAACTAAGCTATGAAATGTAGAGCTGCTACAACTAGCTTAGTCACTCAAACATGCTACCGTTTGATTCCTCCAATTTAAAACCATAGACACATTCTAAAATATCAATGACTAACTTCACTTCCATCAAAACATTCATGAAGAACATGTAAAGCAGAAAGGATGAGGGCAAAAGAAAGGGTGAAATATACTAGCCAAACGTTTGTTTTACAAGGATATGTAGACGAAGAAGCAAAGAAAATAAGGAAACAATATCTCAAATATCCACTTCCAACTGAAGCAAAGGAAGTGTCATTTCAAATGTAGAATTTTCAACTCAAAGGAATATAAATAAACCCAATTAATTGAATGTCAAACAAAACGAGTAAAATATTTAAAAAAAAGGAAAACATTTGAAATGTCTGGCTAATAATTTGATCTGTTAAAACTAACACTTCATACATAGAGGCAAACATCTTAAGGTTAAGCCCCAATTCACTGGATGGAAGAACGAACAAACTTTATTACATGAAGGAAAGAAACGCAAGAATCTTTACTCATTATTTAACATTTTTATGTTACAGAAAGTCAGGGTGTTCCTGGGTGATGGGCTTGGAAATGGAACCTCACCGTTTTTGGCCAGCTCAGCTATGAGGTTGGCTACTTTGGGGGTGCAGGAGGACTGGGGGCTCAGCAGGGTGGGGAGCAGGGTCAGAACACCCATCTCCTGGATCTTCACACTGGCCTCTGTGTCTGCAGGAGTATAATTCAGAAAGGATTAATACCATTTCAAACTGACCACATTAATCAGAGGGTTTGAGAAGCCTGACTTTGTTTACAATAGACTAAGGGCCTGTCCACATCGAGACCTTCCCCTGAGCGACAGATTCTTTTTTTAGTTATTTTAAGTAAGTGCAAGCGACGCCCAGAGAGAAAAGCGCTGCACCCAGCTTTTTTTCTGAGTGCACCGGAGTTTTTGTGCGGACACTGCGACTGCTTCAATTTGAAAATATTTGGACTTATCGGAAAAGCACCGGAGACGTTTGGAGAAAAAGCTTGTGTTTAATCGTGCTTTACAGACAGAAACAACAATCTTTTTCTTTGGCAGATCGGCCGGGCGGACCATGCTGCCAGTGAGTGTGTCTTTTATCTCCGAATCAGATCTCCTTCCTCGCTCTACTGCAGTCAGATTGAGCGGTGACAAGCTAAATCATACAAAGTTTTAAAGCAAGCATCTTATGTCAAATAAATACATAGTAGCAAAAAAAGATAATAACATCCAAGGGGGCGGTGTTAGTCTGTCATACAACAGTGGTAATACATTGTCGAAGTATTGTTGTCATAGAGAAAAGTGTTTTGCTGGGAGGAAGCTCTGCCAGAGAAAGATGTGGGCACAGGCCCTGAAAGGCTATAGAAGATATTCCAAAAGGTTATTAGGTCACGCTGTACTCACGGTTGTTGGCGAGTGCTTTCAGCAGGCAGTCCAGACAGCTGTCCACGCTGTCCGTGGCGCTGTCTTTGGACGCCAGCTTCAGCTTCTCCAAAGCATCACTTAGGTTGTCTGAAAACAGAAACACTTCATGAACACGGGGAGAGAACGCCATGAAAAAACTGGTGTGAAACGTAGCCCCAAAAGTAGAGCCAAATCAACCTGATCGCAGTTTGCAGTGTTTTCTGCGAGCACAGCACGCATTTTAAACATCAATATTGCAGTCCATTATGTTCATTTCATTGTGGGACTACTGGGACAGGATCCAACCCCCTGCCACTGACAACAGAATAATGAGTAAAGAGGTGGAAGGATCAAATATCATCACAGAAATATAAAACATATGGGGTGTTAGTCATTCAAGACAATGCTTTTGATATTGATAGTCATATGCAGGCGGCAGTGGTCGGTTCTTCTCTGCTTCAATAGTATTTATTCATTTTTAAATAAAAAGTTGTCTGTATTTGACCAAAGTTTTTGTTTATGTACACATGTGTTGGGGCAACTGCGTCGTGCACATACAAATCTTTCCTCAAATACGTCGTCAGGAGCAATTTTACTTTACGCAGACGAGCCGTATACAAGTTCAACCTAGTCTTGTTCCGTTTACTCCATTATGAGGACTCACGACATCACTCTGCTCCCTGCCAGCAACCACAGACACTGAATCAAAGATTTATAACTGCTGCACATCCATCACATGCGATGAGGTCATCAATCCTGTTCTTCCTATAACCAGTCAAATAACAGATTTTCTATTTCCTCATTACATCATATGGTAGTGACTAAGTCACTGCTCCATACCTCTTCACTTGATTTATAATTTATTTACAGTTTGATGTGCAATACTGATATTAACCATTCACAAAAACTAAGCTAAATATTAGGTGACAAATGCCTATAAGACATGCGTCTATAATACAGTACATGTGTTATATGTCCTAGAGAGGAGCTTGTTTTGGATGCATTTACTCACAGCCTCCAATCTCAGCTAAATCTGATTAGGAGTGACCTGTCGGGTTTGCTGCTGAACGCACTCTAATAACTCCAGAAGCTGACACACTTCTTCCTCTATTATATTGATCGTCAATAGAGAAGTGTTTTAATTATCTGTGAAGCTTGGAGTGGTTGCAATAACAGAGATATTTTTTCATCAGGTAATGAATGACAGGTTGCATAAGGGGTGCACACACCAGTGCAGTGACCTGGTTAATGCTGCCAGTTGCACTGCACACCCCACATAGATTCCTTATATCAAATGGCAACATCAAAAAGCCTGGGATTAGAAATACTTCATAACCTATCAAATAAACCTGGCTCTAGATGCCATTCAGAAATACCACTGTAAATATGGGACATGGTTCACAGATGTGAAAGATGGAGAGATGATATGTGTCAGAGATATACTACACAGGCTTCAAGTATCAATTACCAACGTCGTGTGTCCAGCATCAATACCCAGAATATGAGGTAACATCACAGAGCAGTGCAGTACACACAGCCACATAGCGGGCTGCTCTCCTATTGCATAACAGCTGTTGAGATGGAGGAGTGCCATCCACAGCACCATCAGCTCTGCCATTTCAGGGGGGGTTCATTCATTTAGTAACCAGGCCGTTTCAAGTCGGAGCAGAACTGCGTCGAGGAGGAATGATTGTAAAATGAACACATAACATGTTCCGAGGCTAACGTGGTTTAAAGGAAGACAATAATCCCTATGAGCGAGGAGTGGATGGAGAAGCTACCCCACCCGAGAGCTGAGCAGACAGGCGCGAGCGCGTACGTGCACACATTTAGCAACAGTCAGCTTTTCACATGACTAATGATGGAGTAATGAAGCAGAACACTATGGAGGGAAGCACCGTAGTACACTGACAGTATGGACAGATACACAGCGTGCCCCACAAACTATACGTGTCTGTCTGCGTGTGTTCAAATAACAGCCATTTTACGGTTTTGAAGTCGTTGAATGAAATAGACAGTTCTTGTTTGCTAACTCGGCCCAGAGAGCGCTGGCTGCTAGCCGTCTACTCACCCATCTCAGCAGGATGTAGCTCCGGAAAATAACCCGGGTGTTAGGATCTGCAGGGCAGCTGCAAACCGAGTCGTACTTTCCCGAGGCCCCGTTTCCTCCGTCCCTTGAACCGCCTAGAACTGGTGAAGTGAGCGAGTTAGCTAGCTAGCTAGCCAGTAAGGTAGCGACAGCAGCCGCCGGGCCGGTCGGGCAGTACCGCTCAGAGGGGTGCAGTGTACCGGGGACTACCAGGTTAACACATCCGACTTCCTCTCATTCCCACACCGACAGATGACCTGCTGGCTGACGCTGCTCCGTACGAATGCCTCAGTCTGACATGCCAATCAGCTAGAAGGGAGTTGGACTTCCGGTTACAAACTTCAAAATAAAAGTCTTCATGGTGTCATGCAACACATCGCCGCTAGATGGCAGCCTGAGACATGTCTGAAAGCTCAGGACAGATGCTGACCAGGGGCCTCATTTATAAACGGTGCGTACGCCAGTTTCTACGCACTGTTTGCGATTTATAAAAACTAACTTGACTGGAAAATGTGTGGTCCTCCCATGGATGTATAATAAGAACGGGTCCTCCACGCAAACTCTGACCCATGCGTACGCACTAAGCACAAAAACGGGAGAGACGAGAAACTGCGACACCGTTGGCAGAAGGAAGAATGGAGAGAAATATGTGGAAATAATACCATAAATAAAATGTTACCTCTCATGTATCATATATGACGAATTCATTTGCAAACATTGATTAAACCCAATCTTAAAATGATTTAACAAACGCCTGTTTGAGACTCCTCAGTGCACACAAAAACATAACTTGGAGAAATAAATAAATACGGAAATGTTATTGATCACCCCTCGATTATGTTCTCTTGTTAAGAAATGTATTCTCATAAATGATGCGGTAAACAGAAGGATATAATTACTTTAAACTGACGCCGTTTTGCATTTCTATAGGTTGTATAGATACGAGCATTGTTTTATACCATCATGTTTAATCATGTTTTATTCCGTTCGCTCGTAAAACACAGGAGCAGGGCCGGCCCTAGACTTTTGGGGGCCCTAAGCGAGCTTTGGCGTGGGGGCCCCCCTCACTCTAGCGCGTTCTCACTACACACAACACAGAACCAACTTTTGTCTTATGATGTTAGCATAAGCACACATATGGTATAAATAAGCATGTAAACACTGTGGACCTAACCTCCTCTAGGGGGGTCCTCACCTCCTCTAGTGGGGTCCGGGGGCATGCTCCCCCGGGAAGGTTTTTTTTTAAATATTGAAGTTAAAACCATCAATCTGGTGCACTTTGAGAGCAAAATTAAGAGATCTATGGATACATCTCTCAACACCCATATGAAACAGAACTGTAAGCAGATTTTTCTTTATGGATATTTTACAAATCACTCCCCTTTTAAAACTGTATTCTTGTTTTGTCATATAGTATTTCATAACTGTTTTTCATTTATTCTCTCTGGCTGTCCATCTCATAATGTTCACATAAAAACTAGCTGTCAATAGGAAATATCAATCAGAAGAATTATAATTTCATGCAAAAATCTGTCACAAAAAGAGGTTGCCCATTTAAATTCAAGTGTTGTTATGGCAACGTCAGTGGCCAAACAGCCACATTTACTGCTGTAAATACGTTCAATCATGCTGTCGACACGTAAAGCAGTGGCAACTATGCCACCATTTCAGCTGACTTTTTCTCAGAAATACTGTCACATAACATCCATATATTTCAGTGCTAGGTTGATGCTTAGCTAAGCTAACTATGAAACACTTTAACTGACAGGACTCAGGATCAACTGTGTACTGTAAGGTAGCGTCTAGCTTCATGTCGAACAGTAAGTCAACATTTCCCAGAGAGCTTTCTTTGAAATCACCAGGTAACGCTAAAAAACATAACATTTAGATTGTATGACAAAGTGTTTATTTAATATATCTGGCTAGCTAATATAACACAACACATGAGTTGTATTTCCTTTAACTGGTGGATTATGGATATATAGTTGCTGATCGACAGCTAGAACACAAACCACCAAATACAAAAAAATAATTCAGATCCAGTCGTCATGACTCCACTCCGGAGGGATTCCCCGATCATTTCTTGGAGTTTCTCATCAAGGGGGTGTCTCCTGTCCCCGGGACAAACACACTGCCTGAGGAAGGTTATGTGTATCTTGTTTGTCATTAACCTTTTTCGGACCACTTATTTATTTATTTTGGTGACGATCCGACCTCCATGCTGCTACTCTGGTTCAAACTGCATCCACCAAACAATATGATTTATCTCGACCTCCCCAAAATAACCAAAATCTGACACGGTGTGAGATGTCTTTTTTAGCTGTTCTGTCGTCATTTCCTGCGATCTTCTTCATGCAGTCAGTCAAAATGAATGAATGAATGGGCGACGTTTCTTTGACTATTTATAGGCAAATATGGGCGTTACGTGAAGCCCGCAAAAGCTGCGCCGCATTTCGAGTTGATTGTGATTTATAAAGGGAAACCGGCGTAGGATGTGCCGTACGCACTTTCCTCGCCGGTACGCAGTCTTTTATGAATCGGAAAATGTCTGTGCGTATTTGCTTTGTCCTACGTAAGCAACCTTCCCACGTCAATCCTACGCAAGGCTTTATAAATGAGGCCCCAGATATTAAAGGTCCCATGTCATGGCCATTTCTACTGATCATAATTCCATTGTTGAGGTCTACTAGAATAGATTTATATTGTGCAATTTTCCAAACTCACATTGGTTTCTCATACAGCATCTCTGTATAGTATGTGTATTCACTCTCTGTCCTACACGGCTTGTTGGAGCTCCTGCCCCCCCCCCCCTCCCTGTGAGCCCACTGTGCTCTGATTGGTCAGCTCGCCCACTCTGTTCTGATGAGTCCACCACCGTTACAGCTGAACATCAGTGATTATGTGTTACAATGGCGTTAGCAACCAGGAAATGACACCAGTAATGACAAACAGATGAGAATGCTGCGTGGGGTCTGGGTGCCGTGTTGGCGGGACGTTGCGCGGCTCGCTGCTGGAGCGGACAGTGTGAGCTGGGTTCATTTCCTGCTTGCTGCGTGGGGTCTGCGACAGTGGCGGTTCTAGACCAATTTGACTGAGGGGGCCAGGCTGGGGCCAGTTATTTTCTGAGGGGGGCACAATAAATGCAGGACGAAAAAGACAAAGACAGTATGAAGTAATTGCGCATTAGAGAAAACAATGCAATACAGTTATTGGTATTTGTTTCAGTACACATATTTATTTCAGATACTTATAGTTACAGTTTTTACGCTCTAATGCAGGGGTCTATTCTGACCGAAAACATCATAGGTGTGACTCTGTTGAATAAATCACTCAAAATTCAATGCAAGTGGTGATCATCAACCATCAACCATATATGGTCAGAGGCCTTGTGTGGAGGTTAACATAAGGTCTTGAGCATGGGCGTAGGAAGCATCCTGAATGTGGGGGGGACATTTTTAACGGGGGGTGTGGGGGCGAAAAAAATTAATAGATTTCCTGTATTCTGGTGCATTTTAACAGGTGGTTTGATACTTTTATGTGGCTATACTAGCATGAGGAAAATGATGGGTACATTTTGTAATTTCATCCAGTAGTAAAGAAAGGAAACATATTTGATTATTAATTCAGAGCTGTCTTTGAATTAATAAAAAGCAGTTTAAATGCCCATTTTTTGTACATTTATATACAACAATAAATATTTGTGAGTGCATTGAGAGATATTGTTGTGGAGAGTCATTTATATATAAATCGCAAAATACATTTGTGAATCCTTCTGTGAGCATTTATTAATATTGAGACTGATCTGACTCCATACGGATGTTAAGTTCACCTAGGAATGGTATCATTGACTTAAATGTTCAAATAAATGTTGCTCTTCTGTCTATATTAGTCATATGATGCCCCTTGACTGAAATGTTTCCTGTTCAATATCCCCACTGATTTCCTTAAAATCCTGGGATGAGAGTCCACATCACAATTTACTCTCAACTGTCATTTCCCTTTCATCACTCACCTCAGCAATGGACCTCTCTCCACTATCCCTGTATTCTGCCTCTGACTCACTCTCAAGTGCCTAGATGTCAAGAGAGGTGGTGAAGTGATAATTATTTATTGGGCAGTATACTCTTTCACATTGAATCATAACAAGTCATACTGAATGTAAATACAACTGACTCTAAAGTAAGTCCCAGTCTGTGACATTGGACATTTTGAAGACTCAAAGTCCCAAGCAGTAGGTAGTATATTAGCTATGTAATGTGCACAGAAAATAAATAGTTAACTGAATACTGGGATGGAAATTGCCTATAAGCACTCAGTAAAACATAAACACACACAAAAAGCTTCTGAATGATAAGAAGTATAATTAAAACATAATGCACATTACCATTTTGAGAGAGAGTACCTAAATTAAAGAACTCAGAAAATAATCTCGTATCGAACTGAGGCTCCAGTAAAACACACTGACTGCGTCTCTACATGGACATCAGTAAGCCGTTTAAGAGTATTATCCCGGTTATGATGTGTTTACATGAGCAGAGAGATCGGGTTATTCATGTTCCCTGTTTACATGATAAATACTAGTAACCTGGCATTTCGATGCCTTTTCTCATCTAAACTATTCAGTATTTGTATTTCTCTATCATGACATAAAGACGAAACTCCTCTCCAGAAGTGAGACGCATTTGCCGCCACCACCGCCATCACTGTTAAGTTAACAGTGTTAACTGATTAACTGCTACCAGCTGATGACTTACTTTCCTCTTCTTTGCAAAAAATGTTCTTATGTCCATGTTGTCTGGGGGAGAAAACATATCAAACCAAGAGATAGTCAGCTTTGATTTTCGCTGTATTAACCATTTCCTGAACATTTGGTGTGTGTGCCTTACCTCCGCTACCGGCATCCTTCATACAACAGAATCTGAGCTGTCCAACTATGACAACAGTCCTTGAACATGCGCGCGCTATGTGAGAATCTGCCTTGGTACAAAGTAGCGGTGAAAACATGGTACGGAGTTTCATTGATTTGGGCATTCTCTCAATAAGCAAGTGGAATGGATTTGATAGTGAAGCACTGACACAGCGCTCTGCAAAGAGCGGCGAGTGGATAGACCGATTCACGGACTTTCCGCATAGTAAAAGTGGGGGGGGTCCAAACTAATCATTTGAAAAAGTGGGGGGGACTTGTCCCACCCTCATATAATGGTTGCGACGCCCATGGTCTTGAGGCAATTGGATGAAAAACACAATATTTATGATACCAAACGAAGTCACTCGGTCAGATTTGACCCGAAACGCAAGAGAAGGGTTAAA